CCCCCTCCCAGAAAATAATGACCCCTGATGATAAGCTTTAATCAATCATGGGGAATCAGAAATCAGAATGTATAAAGCATAAATATTATTCAATATATAATCATAAACATATTATGTAATAAATATTTACAAAACCTAGGCTATCAGGGCGCTTCACGCCAATCATCTATTTCACATTTTAATTAATGCTCAATCTATCAGCATTTTTTCTGTGATAAATAATGAAAATATTTTTCGCGCGTTTACATTTTTTTCGTGAATTTTCAAATTTTTACGAAAATCAAAACTTTTTGGAGACAAATTCCTAAAACTCTAAGCATTCACTTCCCTGGGGTCATTTGAGGTTCCATAAAAAATTTGGGCCGGATCGGTATAGTATTTTTGACGTTTATTAGATACAAACAGATAAACAAAAGAACAGACAGACAAGCAAAGTAGATAGATAGATACTAGGCTTTTAGGGCGCTTCGCGCCCATCTTCAATTTCAACTTGTAAAAGGGGCTTTATCTGTGAGCACATTCTCTTTGTACAGATTAAAAAAAAATTTGTGAATTTCATAATATTTTTTGGGCCTTTTCAAAATTTTACAAAAAATAAAAACCTTTAAACATAAATGTTTGAAATTTTGATCATTCATAAACCTTTTCTGGGGTCACGCAGGTCCCACACAAGATTTGGGCCCGATCAGTTCAGCCGTTTTGACGTTTATTGAACACAAACTGACAGACAAGTTTGTGTGTGTTTGAATCCCAAAAATATTTAAAATATTGAAATCGATCTACAAACAAACAAAAAAAATGTATTGAATTATTTCTTGAACTGACAAATTAATAAAACAAATTTTTTAGGGAAAAATATTAATTTGACTATTTAAAAAAAAATTCTTCTTAGTTATTAAATTTATAAAAAATGTAGAATGTATTTCAAATTAGAATATAATCTTTTTTAAAAATGTACATATTTAAAATCAAGTTTTTTTATTATGAATTAATTGTTTCATGTTATTTTATATTGTACGTTTGTTAAAGTAATAGTAGCTAAGTTTAATTGATAATATCGAGCCGGGTCAATAAAGTAGAATTTGATAAATGTTCAAGCAAAGAACAATGTGTGCCAGAAGGGATATAATATAATACAAAATGATATTATTTCTGATATTGCATGAATTTTTGTCATTTTATATTTAGATATTTATGAAAGTATTATTTTCAACTTTCTGGAACTTGGATCGATGAGTATATTATATTCGGAAACATGATTTAAAGTTCAGTTCAGTTATACATATTGTTTTTGATTTTCATAAACATGGTATGTATGTCACACTTCTGTACTTTTGTGCGTCCCTCATGACTGAACTCTTAATGTGCGACTTCACTGTTATTGCGTCCATCATTAGTTCGTCCAGAAAGTGCGTCCTCATTTGAAACACATTGATAAAAAATGCTCCATTGGCCCATTGGTCCATGGGTAGGAATGATTTTCGATACTTGCGGGAAAAATGAAACACATGCACAGCACCCCCGACTAACCAGAATTAGAGGTATTCGGTTTCTTCAATTTGAAATCATACTCGTTTTGGTTTATATTTTAACAATCTTTAAACTTACGGATTTGTTTGTTTTATATTTTTTATTCAAAACGTATATGGCGGAAAAAAAGTATTTAAGAAAGAAGGCTAGAAAATTATGTTTAATAGGAGTTATTGTGATCGAAAGTCATAGCTTTCTGGAATATTGACAGAACCATTAAATTCACGTGACAGAGAAGCTACGATCTTTATATATAGTCTTTTTATTCTGTTTATTTTTATATAAATTTGATATTTTTAAATAATTTACTTCGCCATATATTTCGGCAAAAACATGATCAGGAGTTCGTCCTATAAAATTACAGACAATATATCTGTCAAAGAAATAATGTAAAACAATAACTGAAAGGAAATAAAGAAACAGACATAGATTAATAACACAATACAGATGGAACGCTAGATGTGTTCTTTTCAAGAATTAACCCTGAGGCAGAAGCCCATAGGAGTTACGCGCCTGCCGCATTGAATTTCAAGACAGAGAGAGAGCATGCGCTTAATTCCTTTGGACTTCTGCCTCAGGGTTATTGTGAACGAAAAACCCCTAAATCTTGAAAAGCCACATTTAGTGTTTTATGTGTATTGTTATTAATCTATGGAAACAAATAAGAAAATTTTGTAACTTTAAAACAAGAAATTTGAAAACTAGATATTATTTCAAACATACAATTTTAGCTACAGACCAGTTGTCAAATTTGAAATATCAAAGTTTTACAACATCGGGGACCATTTTATTGAGAAGCGAGGGTTAATAAAAACTACAATTTCTATCTTAAATCATTTCTCTTGTAGTGCAGGCTCAAGAGAAGTGGTTCTGCTTAGTCTAGGTAGTTCAACTACTTCAGTAAAAGATCCAAACATCGACGAGAGTTTTGCTAATTATTTCTAAATGCTAAAACTAAGACGAATGCTTTATTGTTCAAAAATGTTCATGTCTAGAGCTACACCAAAATAATAATTGAGTTTGTGAGGTATATTCAAAGACCAAGGCTTTACGACACTGTAAAGTGGGTCTAGTCTTGAAAGTCGAAGCAAATTTGTATAGCAGCCTGGATCTAATTTGGGCCCAGGTTGCAAAGTTCTAGGGAGTAGATAATTAAAGTTTGTAGCGAGTAATCAGTTACTCTGCACTGTGATCTACCATCTTCAAAGGCTACAAACCAGTCTAAAAGTTCCATTATCCGTGCTGGTACATTACGTACTGTATTTTCAGTCCGTCGTACTGTCCACTCAGCCTACCCAGTGTAGAGTCGACCCAGCACCAAGGGCGTATACAGAAATAAATGTAGGGGGGGGGGGCAAGATTTTTTTTGCCCCCCCCTAGGAGCTCCTAGGGGGGGGCAAAATTCGAACTGTAAATTCATAACACTTGGCTTCTTGGATATCAGGCATAAGTATAAGATACTTAAAAGGCACACATACAGTCCAAATAATTACCTTCTAAGCATTTTTTCTAAAAAATCGACATTTTATTATACTTTTATAGGTATATTTAGTATTTAAACTAGAGATAGTAAAAGACATTTTTGAAAATAAAAACTTAACTTAAACTTAAATTCTATGAGATGAAAAGAAGTGCAAAGGTCCAGAAAATAATTATGACTTGTAAAAGTTTCTGTTGTGAAAAAAAGTAGGAGTACAATTGCTGCAATCTAAGAATGAATGATAACTCAAGGCTTATAAATAACAGTATTTGATTCATGATAATTATTAATCAGCAATTCACAGATACCAGTCACAACGGCAACTTTTAACAGACTCACATCACTACTAAACAAGACTAGCATATAATGTAAAGTGTGTGAGCTGTACAAATGTATGCAGACTGTGTGTTCTCTGAACCCAACTAAACTCTGTGTACTCTGTGAACTTAAAAGTTAAAATTAGGTTAGGTTGGTTAGGTTAACTTGGTTACAGCATGAGCACTGCACTGTAATTATATATATTTTAAAATTTTGATTTTTTATAATAATCATGAAAAGCAAACTTATTTTTTTTGTGTTCTTCACTCTTCAGTTAAGATTTGAGAAGTGTTAAAGGCTTGCAGAATTCTAGGGGGGGGGGGCTACACCCCCCCCTTTACAAGTCTAGGGGGGCACTGCCCCCCATGCCCCCCCCTGTATACGCCCATGCCCAGCACGTTTTATGCAACAAATGTAACGTGACAAGATCACAGTGGCTACCTTTGTTGCACGTTGGCTCAACTTTACACTGGAAAATCCTGGCTGGACGGTACGGCTAAATACATATAAAGTATATTTTGTACTTTTAGAGTAGGGGGTCTGATTAAAAATATGCATATTAGGGGTTTGGTGTGATGCCCCTACGCCTGGCCTGGGTCAACTTTTACCTGGAACTATAGAGCCCAGCTATCCACACAGGTCGGTCACCTAGTAGACGATAGTGTCCCTCCGTTTATAGAGATGGTACAGGGAGAACCAGAAAACGAAGACCACTCTTGGAATAAATTTAAAGCTTTAAAATTTCAAATGAGTATGAGACACAGCAATTGTGCAGTGTAAACAGACCCATTTCACTAAATTAGTGATTTAATAAGAGCCTAGTAAACCTTTTTGCTTTGTAACAACACTTAACTATTACTACAATGTCGTCTTCATATTCCATTGTTTTCTGGTTATCACTGCATGTTCATTTTTCTACTGTATTCTGTAAAGCTTTATCTGTTAAATAATGTGAAGGATATCGTCATTTTTCTAGGTTAAAGTTTTTAATTCTCAGAATTATCTCTTTTATAAAAAACCCAAAATTGACAAAAAATTAGATAATAAAGTGAAAAACATGGACTAGGATCAATTTGAATTCAAACCGGACCGACTCCTTGTACCGGCACTAGTGACGTGCGGCATCGACTCGCCCCACGTTTTCCAATGTCGGCCAAGTTTCAACTTTGATGGCGCGGCCAGACTTTTTACAATACCCGGCCTTTATTGGCCTATTTGCAGAAATATCTATGATCTGACAAAGGTTTCATGAATACCGTTGTGAATCGGACATGCCACTCTAACAATAAAGGGTCTTTTGAAATGACATCTACAGTTCCTTAAATCTGTTTGGATTTTTTAAAACAAGGGTTTTGTCGGTGTCAGGTTGCTTCACAAAACTCTATTGACTACATACTTGATTTTTTCACTTTATGTTATTTGGGCTCTGGCATAATTAAGATATTAATTAGTCTGAACAAAGAACAAATGACAAACGTACAATTAAAAAAAAAGACTAGATTTAATAAATAACCGCGTAGATGTAGATAAACTACTTCTTTTCAGCTTGACCTTGCTCAAAAGAAAAGTATAGTTTAGCTACGTCTGCGCTGCTCAACTATGTCTCGATATTCATTAACTCTTAACGAGAGCATGTTCTGCGGAAAGCAGAGAAGTGTTAAAACTTAGAGTCGTGAAGTTAAACTTTCCGGATTTACAACTATGCCTAACACTACCTACTATATAGGTCCAGGATACAGTTGATCTGCAGGCAAGGACACAGACAACGCGGTGACCTAAACATATTTTGTCAAGCTAACGGTCGATGGTCCAGACCAGAGGGAGCTTGTCATAGTTAGTATCATTATTATTATTAAACAGATAGAAGTAAGATTAGTAGCGATCAAAAGCGCTTTTTTATCGCATTAAGCCTATACCCCCTTTCATTTTTCGCGAACACTCCCTTTAAGAAAGTTGCAAACCTCGAAACCATCCTAACCAACTTCTGTTTAATGGACTGTTCACTGATTTTGAAAATGTATATTTTACACAATTTTATGATTTAGAAGCATAACTCAAACCACTCAAAGATCTCCTCGGAAGACCAGAGTGATTTTTTACGTTATTTTTAAATAACCATTTATTTCAACTCTAGGTTTTAATAAAATACAAAAAAATGTTAGATTTTAGAAATATTGTTTATTCCTGTTCCTGAAATTGAGGTATTAATGTAAATTTTAAACAGTTGAACGAACTCTGTAATGCACTGATGGAGTTGGATCTAGTTTATTATTAACTAGCTAGTTTATTATTAACTAGCATTTCCCGGGTCACTTATAGTTACTCCCGCCGTTTACCCGCGCTTGGTCTTAAATTACGGTTTTATCTATTTTTCCCTGTAAAAGTCGACACACTCAACATAGAATATCAAAACCAAGCTAAGAACATTACCGTGGTTCTCCCGAGGTCCTAAATCAAAGTTGTTAGGCAATCAGTTAACTGGTTCCTGAGTTATGACCGAACATCCAAACAAACAAACAGAGATTACAACTTCACATATAATATATACAGGGTATTTTTTATATCATTTAGAGAAAGATAAAAATCCACCTAAAAAAGACAGATAATCGACCAGAACTTCTTCTAAATAATTCATTTGCGAAACTTTTTCAAAATAATAGATAATCCTACAAAAAGACATCTCCAGAACGCAGATCAAGAAACCAAGGCCAGGAGTAATTTTCGGAAAATCTCTGTTTGGGTGTCCGATCATAACTCATTACCCCTAGAACGATTAGGCTCAAATTTTGATTGTGGAACTTGGCAGAACCACGGGAATGTTCTTAGTGTGGTTTAGAATTCCAAGTTGAGTGAATTGACTTTTATAAAGAAAACTTAAACTTCGGAAATTCCTCCTGACCTTGGTTTTTGGTTTTTAGTGAAGACCGAGTTCTCACGTCTTTTTATAGGTATATCCACAGCTTTCTCTTAAAGATATGAAAAACACCCTCCATCTCTATATAAAAAGTTTTAACCTTTGTTTGTTCGGGAGACCTACGGGAATATTTTTAGTTCGGTTTTGAGATACTTAGTTGAGAGGGTCGACTTTCATAGGGAAAAAGTTAAAATCGTAATTTACGACAAAGCGCGGGTTAACGGTAAAATTAACCCTGGGCAACGCTGTGTGCTCAAGCTAGTTGTTAGTTATTATTCTGTAGGGATATCCTGTAATAAACCGCAGTTAGAGTCCGGAGCCACATTACTCTCTCAAACCTTTCTCTTTGGTTCCAGAGTACCCTACACCTGTCCTTCAGGTATTTAAAATTTTTTATTTTCAAGCAAGAAAAGTTCGTAAAGGAAATTTCTTGTGTAAATAATTACATACTAGGTTTGTTTGTATAATACAAACAAACAGGGAAGCAGACAGACTAACCAAATAAATATATAGATAATGGGATTTATTAATCTAGGAGAATATCCTGTAAACTCCCCTCTACACTGCCTAGTTGATGGTACCTGGTCCAGTAACCCTGGCAGATGTTTCAAAATCAATAAGTAAAGGTGAAAATTAATTGGTAGGCTTTCAACAATCTTCAACTTTTAATTGTTGCTCTATCTGTGAGCATCTTCTTTTGTACTATAAAGTAATAAGAAAAAAGTTCGAGGATTTAATAATTATTTTTCGTGGATTTTCAAAAAATTTCTAGAATTGAGGGACACAAATTTTTGTAATTCTGAGCATCCATGCATAAACCTTCCCTGGATGTGAGGTCCCAAAAAAGTATGGGCTCAATTGGTTTAGCAATTTTGACGTTTATCAGTTACAAACAAACAGACAAGTATAGACATAGATGAATGAGGTCATCAGATCCAAGTGTAAGTTAAATGCAGAAAAGGCACTAAACTTGTAATTATACTTTTTAAGAACACCCTACACTAATTTCATTCCATTTTTTCAGGATGTATTACAGAGATTCTGCCAGGGGCTTTAATGTATTTTTGTAAAACTTTTACATTTTTATACAAATATGATAATTTAATCTGTACAGAGAACCCAAGATTTAAACAATACTTAATCTCAGATTAAACAGATTTGTTGAGATATATTTGATCTGGGATTATTTTTGAAATCAACGGAACTTCGATCAATTTTGTTCGGAACCAAGAATCATTGGATTTTATGAATAAAAATACTAGACAATTGCCTCTAATCCTAATTTTCGCATCCCATATACCTTTGCAACCTGTCGTTGTAGACCTTGACATGCCAAACTATAGAATTCTACTATAAATGCTACATTTACAAGATCAGGTTGCAAAGATTAGAAAATTAGAGTTTTGAGGCAATTATGTTGTTAATATTTTAAAGCTTTGAATTTCCTCAGTTTATTTAAATAAAAGTCCCAACCAGGTTTTTAAACATTTTTGGGGGGTTTGAGAGAATTGAACAATTAAAGCATTATCATTAAATCCAATTCTACAGAATTGTTTAAATCTTGGATGTTTTTACATTATACTCATTCACTGTAAATTCTAAATGTTACTAAATAAATTAATTATAATTAAATTTTCTAAGAATAGATTTATCTATATTTTCTCATTATGCTTCTATTATTAGAATAGATTTATCTATATTTTCTCATTACCCCCCCTCTACACTCAATCTCTCATGTCCTTCCTTCCCCTCCTCTACACTCTATCTCTCATGTTCTTACTTTAACCCTTTCTCTCATGTTCTTACTATAACCCTTCCTCTCATGTTCTTACTTTAAGCCTTTCTCTCATGTTCTTAACTTAATCTTTTCTCTCATGTTCTTACTTTAATCCTTTCACTCATGTTCTTACTTTAATCCTTTCTCTCATGTTCTTACTATAATCCTTTCTCTCATGTTCTTACTATAATCCTTCTTCTCATGTTCTTACTTTAACCCTTTCTCTCAAGTCCTTAATTTATTCCTTTCTCTCATGTTCTTACCACAATCCTTTCTCTCATGTTCTTACTTTTAATCCTTTCTCTCATGTTCTTATTTTAATCCTTTCTCTTATGTTCTTACTTTAATCCTTTCTCTCATGTTCTTACTACAATCCTTTCACTCATGTTCTTACTATAATCCTTTCTCTCATGTTCTTACCTTAATCCTTTCTCTCATGTTCTTACTATAGTCCTCTCTCTCATGTTCTTACTTTAACCCTTTCTCTCATGTTCTTACTTTAATCCTTTCTCTCATGTTCTTACTTTAACCCTTTCTCTCATGTTCTTACTTTAACCCTTTCTCTCATGTTCTTACTTTAATCCTTTCTCTCATGTCCTTACTTTAAATCTTTCTCTCATGTTCTTACTTTAACCCTTTCTCTCATGTTCTTACTATAATCCTTTCTCTCATGTTCTGACCTTAATCTTTCTCTCATGTTCTTACTACAATCCTTTCTCTCATGGTCTTACTACAATCCTTTATCTGATGTTCTTACTTTAATCCTTTCTCTCATGTTCTTACTTTAATCCTTTCTCTCATGTTCTTACTTTAATCCTTCCTCTCAATTTCTTACCTTAATCTTTTCTCTCATTTTCTTACCTTAACCCTTTCTCTCATGATCTTACTTTGATCCTTTCTCTCATGTTCTTACTTTAATCCTTTCTCTCATGTTCTTACTTTAATCCTTTCTCTCATGTTCTTACTTTAACCCTTTTTTCTGTCTCTCTGTCTCTGTCTTTCTCTCTTTCTCTCTCTCTCTCTCTCTCTCTCTCTCTCTCTCTCTCTCTCTCTCTCTCTCTCTCTCTCTCTCTCTCTCTCTCTCTCTCTCTCTCTCTCTCTCTCTCTCTCTCTCTCTCTCTCTCTCTCTCTCTCTCTCTCTCTCTCTCTCTCTCTCTCTCTCTCTCTCTCTCTCTCTCTCTCTCTCTCTCTCTCTCTCTCTCTCTCTCTCTCTCTCTCTCTCTCTCTCTCTCTCTCTCTCTCTCTCTCTCTCTCTCTCTCTCTCTCTCTCTCTCTCTCTCTCTCTCTCTCTCTCTCTCTCTCTCTCTCTCTCTCTCTCTCTCTCTCTCTCTCTCTCTCTCTCTCTCTCTCTCTCTCTCTCTCTCTCTCTCTCTCTCTCTCTCTCTCTCTCTCTCTCTCTCTCTCTCTCTCTCTCTCTCTCTCTCTCTCTCTCTCTCTCTCTCTCTCTCTCTCTCTCTCTCTCTCTCTCTCTCTCTCTCTCTCTCTCTCTCTCTCTCTCTCTCTCTNTATGAATATTTAAAGGGTACCCTTGTGTATCGAATATCCAACTTTTTAAGTTGAGAGCGACTTGAAATTATGTTTACAATCCCTTTAACATTGATGGAGTTAAACATGAATTAAATATGTTAAGGAGTTACAATGTTGCTTTCCATTTAAACTTCTTTAAACATTCATATTCCTGCAAATTTACACAATAAAAACGGGAAACTTTTTAACTATATATATATATATTCTTGAGTTTTGCAATACTTATAGCTTTATACCTTTCAATTGAAAAAAATCAGATCCCAAGTTTTTAAGTCACATTTCAAGATTGTTGCCATATGGATGTATTTTCTAGATCGAAATAAGATAGAATAATCATGTAACGCCGAAGCATATATCTATATAAAAATTTAGCTTGTCTGGGTGTCTGTTTGGGTGTTTGTCTGTTTGTTTGTGTCCAATAAACGTAATAACCGCCTAACAGATCAGGCCCAAATTTTGTGTGGGACCTCACGTGGCCCCTTGGAAGGTTTACGCCAATCAGACTTTAAATTTGTAATCTTAAAATGTTTTTATCTTAATTTACTTAATATTGTGAAATTTTGAAAATGCGCGAAAAAATATTATGAAATCCGCAAATTAAAAAAAAATTACTTTACAAACATAAGATGCTCACAGATAAAGCCACAATCAAAAGTTGAAAGAGAAGATGGGCGCGAAGCGCCCTAAAAGTTTTGTAATTTAATATTTATAATCACCTGTAATTCCATATAAAAAATGATGTCAACCAAAGGCGGACACAGGGGGGTGGCGGGGGGACATTCGCCACCTTCAATTTCTCACAAATTTATTCACTACAACATAAGTTGAAGAAAGAACTCTAACTCAAATTTAATAAAATAAATAACATTTCACTCGTTCAACAATATATAACGTATTTCCAATATGGCCGACATTGAAAACTGAAATTTGATTTACACCAATTTTACAGAACTCGATCATCAATTGGTTAGAATTTATGATCAAGTCTCTCATTGGTCAATGCAATTTGCTTGAACTTTTAACGCAACCTCATTTGTCATAATTCTCGTAATCCGGGATTCGGATATTCAAAAGAGCGGTTTAAGAAGAAAATCAAAAGTTTGTCCATTGGATACACAGTTTAAGATATCGGGTTTAAGGATATCTCATTCTAAAGTTTTCAGCTCTGATGGTGTAAATCTTTGATATTTCAACCTTCATATCTTACAATTAAAAAATCCCTGTATGGAATAGATGCCATGCCCGAATAACAACCACAGATAAATAAATAAACATAGATAGCTTATGTACGCAAAATCACCAAGAATTGTACAGTCTGCGAACTCATACTTCTAGGGGTTAAAGTTTACTTCAATGATAAGCGGGGTGGTTTGGTGTTTTAATGGATTTCATAATTATTAAACCACTCAGGAGTGAATTTTATTTTGAGAATATCAAATTATTTCACTGAGCAATATATCATATTGACGAGAAATGAAGAAGGACATGAGAAGGACTAAACTAACTTAAATTTCTTTCTACAGAACTCATGTACACCACAAGTACTCAATGACATAAGGACAGCCAATGTTCACAGCCGACCTAGATTATCTTTATAATAGGAATATCTTTAAAACATCTCTGTACATTTATATCTTTCAAGATAAAAAATGTCGTCTTATGCGCAATCTATCTTTATCTATGATAACAACTTAAACCCGTTATCTTCGTTATTCTATCTGCAATAGTTTTAAATTCTGACAATTTCTTGTTTTATCTCTGCATAACAAATCCTTACACTAAATATCCAAGAAAAAACCATGATATTTTCATAACTTTTGCTCACAAAAAAAGTTTAAGATACCGTTATAAATCAAGCGTGATATTTTAAAACTTCTATTTAAAATGTTTCCGTGAATCCGCGAAAAAACCGAAAATGCCTCGTCATGTTCCCTGTGAATAAATTAAAATGTTCGCTGAGGAATAAATAACGAAAATAGTTTTGTTTTTCAATTTTTTGACTAAGCAAAATATTAAATTGATAAAGTTTTTACATAAATTTTACCAAGAGTTTTGAATAGAAAGTTTGAACCGGAGCAATGTTAAGACAATTGCCGATGTTTATTGCTGTATTTTGATTTAAAAACAAACACATAAAAAAGTATGTATATCTCAAATAAATATTAATTGTTAGATGATTTAAACAGAAGGCGACATTTGAGAAGAAATTCCTTTTTTTCGTTTACCCCTTGCAGTACACTTGTGTCGTTTTACCCCTTTAATAATACGTTTTTTAATGTTTTAAAATTGCTTTTGATGTCTTATACTTTGTTGAAATGGTTAAAACACTAGGGAAGATGAAGTGTAGCAGAGGAGATGAACAGATGCACGACACCGTTTTAAATAAAATTTAAGTACTGTACTGTGCTACTGTACTGTACTACTGTACTGTACAAATGTGCTGTACTAATGCACTGTACTTATGTATTGTACTAATGTACTGCACTACTGCACTACTGCACTGTACTTCTGTACTGTATTGCTGTACTGTACTACTTCACTGTAATTCTGTACTGTACTTCTGTACTGTACTTCTTTACTGTACTTCTGCAACTGTACTTCTGCACTGTACTACTGTACTGTAATAGTGTACTGTACTACTGTGCTGTACTACTGTACTGTACTACTGTACTGTAGTACTGTACTGTAATACTGTACTGTACTACTGTACTGTACTACTGTATTGTACTAATGTACTGTACTACTGTACTGTACTACTGTACTGTACTGTAATGCAGTGCACTGCACTATTCTGTTCTGTATTTTAATGTTTTTACATTGTTTTGAGAATTCTAAATAAAAATTTTGAGTCTCCAAATAATTCTAGAACTTATTAATCCTGCCACAAAAACTAAATTAAAACACAGAATCCTTTCCACTTTTATTAAGAGAATCTAGTTACTGTAACATAATTTACTGATTTCTCAAAACAACAATTTCTTTAAACATAGCTGGTTAATAAAGGAATGAAGTTTTTGTTTCAAACTCTGATTTTCTAATCCCATAAGCTTTGCAACAAAATGTCAAACCATGAATTCTGTTCGAGCAAATAATCTAAGTTTGAAATTTTCAATAAAGTTTCTGATCGACCCCTTTCAATTCCAATAATTAAAACTTTGTTAATGAGTTTTCATAAATGGTTGAGTAATTATGCTAATTAAAACAATTTCCCGGGATTAAATTATCTTTTAAAAATTTTTGCAATCAAAAATACATTAATTAAATCGTTCTAAAACCGATTTAAGAATGTTTATGGCTTGTCGAAATGGAAAATTTTGTATGGAAAAAAATGTCAATTCGATTTTAGATTTCTCCAATTTAAACTAAAAAAATAATCTGCGACCATTTTTATTGTTGGAGTAGAATTTTTTTTCCCCTATATTTAGGATTGAATTTTTTTTTATATTTAGGATTGAAAATTTCTGAAACTATTTACTTGTGCCATTATCAAATATTAACCCCAAATTCAATATACTCTATGTATAATTTCAAAGAAACTTTTCAGAAAAAAAAATGTTTTCTAAGTCGCAGAACTAGAATATTCAAAATGAAGGGGATAACTCAATCAAAAACACAAGGAATGGTTTCAACATCTTTAATCACAAATCAGGATTTTTCAAGAAAATGTAGATAACATATTCGATCCTGTTCGATCCTGTTCGATCCTGTTCGATCTTGTTCGATCCTGTTCGATCCTATTCGATCCTGTTCGATCCTGTTCGATCCTGTTCGATCCAATAAATTTGTCTATAAAGCCAATTTTTCATTTTTCGGCTAAACGTTTTTGATATAAAATTTCTTAAAAGTTTAGGTAGAAATAGCTCCCCGGACATACTTATATATTAAAATATTAGTTGAATTTCTGTGATATTTGAAACAATTAGAAGAGATAGAAATGTTAGAAGAAATATCGAAATATGAATATCCAACACAGGGTCCAACCGATCTAAATTACCTAACTGGGAGTTCAACCGATCTAAATTCCTTGACTGATGGTTCAACCGATCTAGAAATCATGACTGATGGTTCAACCGACCTAAATTCTACGGAAGATCAAGATGTGATGACAAGAATATCTGAGGACCAGGTAACGACATAACGATCCACAATCCACTGCATATCTTTATATTGACACTGTTAAAAATCCTAAATTCGTGAAACGAAAGATGAAATATAAACATTGCATTCTCTTTTAAAGAAACTAATTCCGTGCATCACACCCATGTATCTTTGCAACCTGATCTTGACTTTTGATCCATCAAAATTAAAAAATATAAAGGGATTACACAATTAGAGTTTGAGATGAGCCTTTAGTTACTTATATAGTAATGAAAAAGAAAATCATATTTGAATAAAAAGATAGAGAAAATGTTATTGAGAAGAGTTAAAGACGACATTTTCATAATTTTCATTCAATACGTGTTTTTCGAAACTCCCTGTGCATCCCTTGGTATAGTTTGACATTATATAATTATACCATCAAAGAATATTTTCAAATATATTTAAGTCATAGAAAATTGGAAGCAGGCAATTTTACGATAAAATATAAATTTATAATGTTCGGATTAAAATATATTTTTAAACTAAAATGAAGGGTTTGAAAAGAATCAGATAAAAAAGAATTTAAAGGAGAATATTTGACAAAACGCACATCAATGCATTTAAATGTCGTAGAAACCAGTTATCCCACATTTTTATATTTAGTACTAGATTTTCATTGTAGTTTTTTATAATTCTTTTGACCTGATAAGTATTTTTCTTCGTACATATAAACTATGAAAATTTAGGTTAAAAAAAATGTTTTCACCAGTGGGTTTATAAAAAAACCTGTAAAAATCCTGAAAAGACTAACTCTGGAATGATCTGGGGAAAATTTGTTAAATTAAATATTTACATTTTTCTTTTATTCTATGTTTGGTTAGGCCTTCTCTGTGGCGCCACGGGACGTTTAGGGGCCCAACACTGTGGCTAGGACAGACTAAGGGGCCGAGCACTGTGGAAAGGATAGGGATGGATATAGGGACCGGGGGCGGAGCTTTGCCGGAAGCAAACTTTCTCACTATTCATGAGTTTGTATTTCATGATTTTATATTTCCTCAGTTTTCTTATTTCAGGATTTGGTACATCCATTGTTTGTATTTCAGGATTTGGTACATCCATTTGTATTTCAGGATTTGGTACATCTAGTGTTTGTATTTCAGAATTTGGTACATCCAGTGTTTGTATTTCAGGATTTGGTACATCTAGTGTTTGTATTTCAGGATTTGGTACATCTAGTGTTTGTATTTCAGAATTTGGTACATCTAGTGTTTGTATTTCAGGATTTGGTATTTCCGCAGTTAGTATTTCAGGATTTGGTATTTCCGCAGTTTGTTTTTCAGGATTTGGTATTTCCGCAGTTTGTTTTTCAGGATTTGGTATTTCCGCAGTTAGTATTTCAGGATTTGGTATTTCCGCAGTTTGTATTTCAGGATTTGGTACATCCAGTGTTTGTATTTCAGGATTTGGTACATCCGCAGTTTGTATTTCAGGATTTGGTACATCCGCAGTTTGTATTTCAAGATTTGGTAAATCCGCAGTTTGTATTTCAGGATTTGGTATTTCCGCAGTTAGTATTTCAGGATTTGGTATTTCCGCAGTTTGTATTTCAGGATTTGGTACATCCGCAGTTTGTATTTCAAGATTTAGTACATCCGCAGTTTGTATTTCAGGATTTGGTATTTCTGCAGTTTGTGAATTATTAGAATTTATTATTTTTTCCATTTTGTTTAGATAATTCTGAAGATCCCGTATTATGAGATAACAACAAAAGACTCAATAATTATTTCTATTGTTATTCTTCTCTGGATCTACTCAATAGTTCTAATATATAGGTATACATTAACTTGGGAACCTATGAACCGATTTGCCACAAATTTTGACTCTTTAGAACTTCAAACCCGGGGATTGTTCAAGCTACAACTTTAAAAATAACTGACAACATACCACTCTACTAAAATAACGAAAAAGAAGTTTTCGAGTTTAGTGTGGGAAGCGGTTTGGCCATAAGAGCGAGGTTTAAGTATTTATCCAGGTATACCTCAGATTCTCTTGACGTTCAATGTCAACACAAGGCTACAATCCCGTGATCTCTCAACCCCACTACCAATGGGAGCGATATCAGCTCGTATGTTTCAACAAGAACAGCTATTGATGTCAACAAGGACATTAATAATTAATTGATCAATGCCTCAACTAGGACACGATCCATATGGTTACAATCCCGTGAACTATCAACGCCACTACCACTGGGCGAGATCTCAGCTCGTATGTTTCAACGAGAACAGCTATCGAAGTCAGCATGAACACTAGCATTTAATTGTTCAATGCCTCAACCAAGACACCATCCACACAGCTACAATCCCATGACCTATCAATGCCACTACCAATGGACGGGATTTCAGCATAACAGCATAACAAATCTCAAAGCAATTATCGCTGAAAGAAAACTTAATACATAAAACTCGAAAATCTAAAAAAATAAAAATAGAGAAAAATTTTTTGAAAAAATATGTTGTTACTAAATATGAAGCTATCTGGACGCTTCCCAGTCCCTTTTCTAGTAACAATTTTTAAATCGCCATTTGTTCATTAAACTTTTTACTTTAGTAAACAAAAATTTCAATCTGTGGATTTTCAAAAATCGTATAAGTCGAAATATTAAAGATTAAATATGTTTTTATACAATATTAAAGATTAAATATGTTTATATACAATATTAAAGATTAAAGATTAAAGATGTTTATATACAATACTAAAGGTTAAATATCTTTATATACAATATCAAAGATTAAAGATTTAAGATGTTTATATACAATATCAAAGATTAAAGATTAATGATGTTTATATACAGTACTAAAGGTTAAATATCTTTTTATACAAAATTAAGAATATAAAGTTAAAAAGTTAGCACGTAAGTGAGGTAATGAAACTAAATGCATTTTGTTTAAAGATTCCTAGAATTCTAAAACCTATTCGCATAATATTATAACTTTCCTGCCACCAGGAGCCACAAGAAATTTGTTCTGAACCCCAAAATATGCCAAATTACATTAAAGCCTTGCATAGTATATACCTAGTCTACACATTAGATTGTGTAAATTTTCCTAAAATCCAAAATGTGCAACAATTCTGAGGAATATAATTTTTGATTAAAAAAGAACAAAAATTAAGTTCAACTATATTCATTTACAGCTTCCCAACAATAACAAAGCTGTTAAAAAAAAGCCAAGATGAATGATAATTGAATCGTGTCTGGGAACCCTCCCTCCTCCCTAATATATCTAATTAATTCATACCATTTCTGAATGCCACACTTTACTTGAAATAGCGCCCACTGGCCCTTTAGCATCATATATATATTGCTTTTCTGGTAAATAGGTGTTTGTTTGTCTGATTGTATCCAATAAACGTCAAAACGGCTGAACCGATCAGGCCAAAATTTTGTGTGGGACCTCACGTGGCCCCAGGGAAGAGTATGGCCAATCAGACTTAAAATATGTAATCTTAAAATATTTTTATCTTAAATTATTTAATTTTGTAAAATTTTGAAAATGCACGAAAAAATATTATGAAATCCGCAAATAAAAAAAAAATTTCATACTGTACAAAAAGAAGATGCTCATAGATAAAGCCACAATTGAATGTTGAAAAAGCCTAGTAATTAATAATTTCAGCATTCATATTTTTATACTTTGCAGAGCTTGGAAGAAGATTTTAAACTATCCAGACGATTTTACCAGAACTCCGAAGGGAATGGATTTGTGGAGGTAAACAATGACAAAGACGACATTAAATGTTCAAACTGTAGTCTTTCCCTTCCATGATGGTAATATTGTAAGTATTTAATGTACATCAGATCTCGAAATTGCGTGATTTTGTCTTTCTTGCGATGCAGCACCGGCAGCAGTATGTTTTTCATCCCTAGAGACGGTTTAGAAAAATATTGACACAGTACAAAGTAATTTAATCTTGCTTTAGAAATTTAGAAATGAAGGTTGAACCAATGAACAAATTAGAAATACCATATTTTTGATCAATATCTCATTTTAGAAAGATAAAACAGTAAAACTCATATACCCTCCATTTTTCAATTTTTGTTTAATAAAAGAAGAAAAACTAAAATTGAATTGTTGTTTTCAATATTTTAGAATCTGTTCTTTCTTCAAAATTGTCAAGGAAACACAAATTGTTCAGCTGTGGTATTCCAAGGGTCAGATAAAACAAATATTTTTTCTTTTTTTCTAGATGGGTTTTTGATGTTTTAAAGATCAACAAGGAGAACAGGCTTAGGGAAAAGGTGATATAGATAAAAAATAAAATTTATGTTTTTGTAAAATCTAATTTTTTTTTTTTTTAACTTTTTCGACTCAAAATTTTGTTTACTGTTAACTTTTCTGGTAAAACGTTATAATAACGGGTTTTTGAACTATAATACAACAAAAGATTCATACTTTATCTGTACAATGTGATATCAGACGGATTCTAATATTCAAATTGAAATGCACAATACTGAAATAAATGCAAACTATGATCAATAGAAAAATATTCAAAACTGACATTTTAAGTAATTGATAAAATTTCCGTATACACAAACGTAATTATTAATTATTAAAATTTTAAATCTTTTCATACAGTGGTAGGCGATTATTTCAATACAATAAATACGACTTTTTAATTTTAGTTTTGATTGTTACAGGCTTTTTCGAAATACAAGTTTACAAGATAATCAAAGAGAAGCTTTTTAATTGACAAATTCTCTTTTTTTCATGTTTATGTGTATCTTTGCTGTTTAAAAGCTTGGTATAAATGAAAATTGAACTCGAAAGTCGTCTTTATTGTATTAATATAATCGCCTATTACTGTATTAAGTACTTTGATAAAAATTTTAAAATCCTAAGTAAAAGTTACTTCAAAGACTTAAAGTTATGCAAAGATGTAAATATTTAAACATTAAAAGGGAGGGCCGGGCGCGCTTCTTTTCAAAACAAAGAGCAAATTTTAAACTGTTTAAATTATAATACAGTGATGCCCATAATACTGTGGTATAGGAAGAAGACTTATTTTTTATTTACATAGTCCACCGAACATTAGACACAGAAATTGTGTAGTTTATACACAGGCCCATTTTACTTGACACAGGATTTTTAAATTATTAGTTAAACTATTTTCTTTAAAATACACTTAAAGATTGTTTTGATGTCGTCTTCCTATTCCACAGGTTTCTAGCTTTAACTGTACAATATTTCTTTAGAATGGTGTGGATGTGGAAATTGGATTGCAAGAAATGAAAGCCAAGAAAGGCCGTGTAGGGTTAAGGGATCAGGGAGCAACCATCCAATCCAAAAGATCATTTAGATCCTTTCAATCCAGTCACAACAGGGATTTTAGATTCGGTGGATCCCTGGACAACCCCAGGCATCAAAGCCTGATTGGATCCAATCGATCCCTACAGCTGGAATCCAGATATAGAAAAGAATTAAGAGGAAATCGAATAATTTCAAAAAAGGATAATCAGTTCAATCCATCACTCGAATATGTACAACCAGTATCTCTAGAACATGTACAGCCTACAACTCCGGTACATAAAACCAGCTCTGAATGGTACAACAAATCCTTTGAATCAATTGAATCTCATAAAGTGTACATATTTAAAACGGAGGATAGTATTGGATCAGAATCAAGGTACACTCGAGACCAGAGGCTGGGGAGCTCAGGGGTTGATGATATACAAATCCTTGAGGATGGTGTAGAGGTCTATGAGAAGGATGAGGATGAGGATAATGAACTCTTATCTCGACGAAGTTTAAAAATGTACAGCATGAGTAAACAAACTTATGTATAATTAAATCATCATAGCTACTGAACTAAAGGAACTGATTACTCGTCACAAACTCTAATTATCTAATCCCTGTAGCCTTGCAACATGATGACCTTAATTTTCTGATCTAGCAGAATTCCTAGTTTGACATATCAACGGCCAACGAAAAAAGATGCAAAGAAATTAGATTGTGAGGCAAGTAATCAGTAAATTTAGGACACCCCTCCCTCCTTCTCGAAGAAAATATATAGATCAAAGGAATTGAGTCTTAGTCACAAAATCAAATGTTCTTTGAAACACAGTGTCGTAGACCTTAGATATTTCAAACTCTGAATTATGTTAGATAAAAAAATCAATCTATCAATTCAGATTGCAGTTTGGGGCAAAGGCTCAATTCCTTTAAGATCCAATTTTTTATGATAATTATTATTATTGTTATTTTAATTGTTATCATTTTTATTAACAAAGGGTTTTAATGAGATCAAAACACATAAAAACTTGATTTCCTGATCGTCTATAATTTAGATCTTTGTAAAATGTAAATTTTTTATCTAAGATTTGATTATTATTGCTTCTAAACCTTTTATCGATGTAAAATAAAATGAATAATACAGACTATTTATGAAAAGTTAGCTAATAGTTATAAAACTTTTTGATTATACATACCAAGGTTACAATGCAAGGAAAGTTATTTCAGAGGTGTACGCATCTTTTGTACTGCAGGTAATGTAAACACAAGACGGATGTCGAAGCCTGACATGGAATCCATCTTTCACATAAAAACTCAATGAAATATTCTGGTTATAGGAAACTATTATGTGAATTATCAAAATTATCAAAATTTAATGCTTTTAACCTCCTCGGATACTAAACGAACACTGACGCATCTTTTCTTGTTTACAAATTCCGCCCAGAGAGAACTGGTTTCAATATGTACGCAGAGTATACGCAACTGCAATTAGCTTTCCTTGCATTATAACCTTGGAGCATACCATATCATATTGAATTATATAACACCAAGCTTTAACATGAAAATTACGCACGGAATACTCATAGAATCATGTGGTTTTTTTTGCCTACAAATTGCAATAAATGCATTATCTTTTCTAATTTTCTGGTAAGTTCCAAAAATCCCAATTTAGCGCTACGCCAACCTGGACTACCTAGGTTAGATGTGTTTTGTTTCTTCAGATTTAATTTGATCGCGTTTTTGGAGAAAAATTGAGTTTTTGCCACAACCTCTAATTTTCTAATTTCTATATCTTTGCAACCAGTGGATATAAACCTTTGATATTTCAAACTTAGATTATTTGACCTAACAGAATTAATAATTTGAAATATCGAAGGTCTACGACATTGGGTTGCCAAGATATAGGGACAAGAATATTTGAGTTTGTGGCAAACACTCAGTTCCTTAAAACTCACCTACAGACAAAAAAGTTTAAAAAAAGAGAAATTATGTTTAACAGTGTCCAATTGTTAAATATAAATATAAAACGGTTAAATTAGCTTGATGTGAGATCAAATAAAATGTGGGAAACCCTGATTTTACTAAACCAGGGGTTCTAGAAGTTTTAAAACTATTTCATCTCTTCAGAAAAGTTTCCAGTACTTGCAAACAAATGCAGTTTTCTTTGATAATGAAAAAGAGCGAATTATATTGACAATATTTAAATAGACGTAATTCGTGACCCATTATGTAAAGAGGGGGCGCCATGTCTGATTCACAAAGGTATCCTTTTAATCTGATCATTAATGAGGAAGCTATCTTCGTTTTTTTCAGCTTTTTGCAGTATTGCTGTCATGAATCATAAATTCGAAACATCAATTTAAACAAAATATATTGTGGATATCTCATGTAATCTTTATCAGAAAATATATTGTGGATATCTTATGTAATCTTTATCAGAAAATATATTGTGGATATCTCATGTAATCTTTATCAGAAAATATAATGTGGATATCTTATGAAATCTTTATCAGAAAATATATTGTGGATATCTCATGTAATCTTTATCAGAAAATATATTGTGGATATCTTATGTAATCTTTATCAGAAAATATATTGTGGATATCTCATGTAATCTTTATCAGAAAATATATTGTGGATATCTCATGTAATCTTTATCAGAAAATATATTGTGGATATCTCATGTAATCTTTATCAGAAAATATATTGTGGATATCTCATGTAATCTTTATCAGAAAATATATTGTGGATATCTCATGTAATCTTTATCAGAAAATATATTGTGGATATCTCATGTAATCTTTATCAGAAAATATATTGTGGATATCTCATGTAATCTTTATCAGAAAATATATTGTGGATATCTCATGTAATCTTTATCAGAAAATATATTGTGGATATCTCATGTAATCTTTATCAGAAAATATATTGTGGATATCTCATGTAATCTTTATCAGAAAATATATTGTGGATATCTCATGTAATCTTTATCAGAAAATATATTGTGGATATCTCATGTAATCTTTATCAGAAAATATATTGTGGATATCTCATGTAATCTTTATCAGAAAATATATTGTGGATATCTCATGTAATCTTTATCAGAAAATATATTGTGGATATCTCATGTAATCTTTATCAGAAAATATATTGTGGATATCTCATGAAATCTTTATCAGAAAATATATTGTGGATATCTCATGAAATCTTTATCAGAAAATATATTGTGGATATCTCATGAAATCTTTATCAGAAAAAGCTTTCAAGCTGGTACAGTTGTTATTTAGCCATGACACTCGACGTCACTCTAGAAATCAGAAAGTTTTTAGTGCTAAGTACAACTTTTCTTTCATAATCAAACCAACAAAGTAAAACTAATTGCAGGGGAATCTCTGATTAAAGAGTGTCATAAACAATTCAAAACATTTAATTTCTGTAGTAAAAAATGGTGAAACCTTTGAGAGACAAAAATCTAAATTCAAAGGGAAGCGGTTCAGAAATATGTAAGGGGTTATTTCATTAATAATAGATTTATATGGATTGTTTTTTTTTTCTATTTACGAGAATACCCACATGGACAGAAACTTCTCAGAAACAGGTTTACCACTATCGCACAATGCAGTACAGTACAGTAGAATACAGTAGAGTACAGTATAGTACAGTAGAGTACAGTGTAGTACAGTACAGTACAGTACAGTAGAGTACAGGACAGTACAGTACAGTACAGTACAGTACAGTACAGTACAGTACAGTACAGTGCAGTACAGTACAGTACAGTCAATTGTCTGGTGAAAATAAAAGAATACAAATGAATTAATAAGCGCTGACATTATGTAAATTATTATATATGGATTTTGTTGTTATAAAAGATGAAAGGAAGTTATGAAACAGTTTAGGAGAAAACAAAAAACTATTTAGAAAAAAAAATTCTGCTGCAGGCTGGATGGAAAAAATTGAATATAAAAATGGATTTTAAGGTTTATACTGTAATATTACTGCCATTTTTACCTATTGAAATTATCAGTTACATATTTCATGTTTCATAATATGTTCAATATTAAATCCAAGAATTAAGAAAATATAAACTAGCACTAGACTTGCAATTTAATATTCGTTAACACTCCCTTTAAGGATAGAAACTAGGGGATTATAAGACAGATTAAGATTGATGTTTTAAGATTACCAACAACAAGGTTAGCCACCACTTGGCTTTAAAGTTTACCAGCTCTCACGCTAAAATCGATTAGAATTTTGACTAATCAATTCTGCAAAACTAAAGCTGACAACAAGTGTTTTTTAAGTTCTAAAAAGTAGATGTTTAAGGTTACCAAAAAAACTGAGTTAGAACATCAAAATCTAAACACAAGGTATTGCAACACTTCAAAGTGGACCCTGTCTTGAAGATCAATGCAACTTTTTATACCATTCTTAATTTTTGTGCCACAGTGATATTGCCAAGCTACATTTGTTGCATGCAGCGTGCTGGGTAGACTTTAAACTTGGTAGTCCAGACTGGACAGTACTACTGAATGCATATACAGTACATTAGTACATGCTGTACAGGTTCGGATCATGCAATTTTTATAGAGTGGGGTGAACAGGAAACAATCGTTTATGAAATTAACGAACTTGGATAAGAAATTTGACATCCAGCCCATGTGCAGCTTCGCAAATACTATCTTCCTACTATCTTCCTGAAGGCCCTCGGTAACGAACTTGGAACGAAGGGTTTCCAAAATGAAGAATGTCTCCAGCCCTACCTACAATCTGATTAGATGAGAGTAGGACGGAAAGGATAAAAACAAGCAAAACAAATTAAATGGTTGAGAGGTAATTTGTACTATAGCAGAAAACTGGGAAACCTGAACACTTGCCACAATTCCTTTAATTTTTCACTTCCTATATTTTTTCTACTTGATTGTGAAAAAAATTAGATTTATCTATTTGATTTAACAGAATTCATAGTTTGAACTATTAAAGGTCTACAACATCAGTTTGCATAGAGGGATTAGAAAAGTATAGTTTTAGGAGGCCGATTTATTCTTTTGCTTGACAAGTATTTGGAAGATTAGAAGGTTATGAAGAATACATTTTTCAGACTCTTTCTATTTGGAAATATACATTTCTATAATGAACTTCATTCTTATAGCCTGTACTTACTTTAAAGTTCAATGCAGATGCAAAATTGGTTTTTTTTTCGCCAAACCACAAAATATGCCAATGGAATATATTTACGAGTTCTCATGGTTGTCATTAAAGTCTTGAATGTTTAGTGGGTCACCCTTCAGAGGGGAGGAAGGCCAGCCACAACAATTTCTAGTCCGAGCCACATTCTCCTCATTTTCTCGTCCGAACCACCTCTAAATCCTCGTCCTTCCAGTATTATTTTCTAAAAGTGTCTAGTCCTCCAAGATGAAACTATTTTTTAAGCATCGGGACACGTTAGGGCATAAATGAAATATTGAATTTTAGTAAATCGAAAAAAATAGTTTCAAATGAGTTGAAGTTTTCGAGTTCTATTATCTTAAAAATGTTAACCATTTGTACGCGCATTTTTAGATATTCCTGGTGTAGAATGCCGCAAATAATTCCGAGGTTATAGAACTTTAATCTTTTTTGTTAATTATAGTGAAAACCACAGATTTTTCCGGGTGGTTCCATGGGGAAAATGATAGGCAGAGGTATGCCAAATAATTTGCTATTTATTTCATATCGTAAAGGTTAGCCATTACGGAGGCAGAAGAGTTTTAAGTTTTACCTAAATAAAGTTTGACATCATTCTCATGTTTCTAAAGTTTCAAACATGATTAAATCATTGCAATACTTTAGTCTATCCATTTTTTATGCCCTAACGTGGCCAGATTTGTTAAAAATAGTTTTATATACAAGAATTAGAAATTTTTAAACACATAATAATCGAAGGACGAGGATTTCGAGGTGGTTCGGACGAGAAGTTGTTGTTGTGGCTGGCTTTCCTCCCCTCCCCTGCATCCATGTAAATATATGCATAAAATATTTTGTCAAGAATCTCTATTGCAAAAACAGAAATTTCTAATTTAATTTAAACATTGAATATTTCCAATTAATTAAAAAAAAATTGCTAATTTTATAGCTTGTAATATTTTCGTAAATTGAAAAATGAAAATGAAATACAAGGTTACATTAAACAAAACCTAAATGACGACCTTAAGCTTTAAACAATGTTATATCATTTGGAAAAGAATGAAACGTTCCGAAATCTCTTAATGCAAAAAAATTAAAAGTTTTGATTAATTTAATCGGGTTGAGTCGCTTCCACGTTATTGGATACAAACAAATACCAGGACAAGCAAAGTATATATATAGAGCCTAACATACAAATATCTGATATTTGATATAATCTTTTAAAACTGTACCATGGTGTATTAAAAATGTGAGTTATATTTTAAAATTCAATCATCAATGAATGGTTATCAAAATTAAGAATATAGAAAAACCTGAAGCTATTTTTTTGTCTTGTTGTAAAATATCTAATACTTACTTGGGCACCCCGCTGCGTCTGGAAACTTAAAGTTTAAAAACAGTCTTCCACTCAACTTGGAATTTTTAAATCAAGCTTAGCTATCATCAAAAATCGGACATAAAAACAAACAAACAGACGAGCAAAGAATACTATTTTACGTATGTAATGGCATGAATTGGATAGATAAAACAGAAACAAAAATCTTATTTAAGAGTTATTTACGAAAGATGAGAATTCAGAGATAACCTGCACTGCACAATTCCTTCCTCCTTATTTCTTAACGTCAGTAATGAAAAAGATAATGAACAAAAATATGTTAAAAATCGTTGTATTGAAAGGACCTGTATGTATGACATAATTTCAAGTGCACTCTCAAAATAAAAATAAAAAATAAAAAATGTACAATAAAAACTTTTTAAAAATCCTTTCTTGTTTCCTTTGCTTCGTATCCTGAACTAGAACTGGCATTTCCGGTTCAAGCTCACTTTAAAAACTTCAGTATATCAGTATAATTCTGTAAGTAGGATTTATTAATATGATTAACATTCTCCATTAAAATAAGATTATAATTGAACATATCATGCTATTATTATTATTTTTTATATCACAAAATAAGTAAATCTCCATGTGGACATTCCCTTTACAGATAAGTTATTGTCGTCCCACTCGTATCTCATCCTTTATGAATAACCCTGTATGTATCCCACCTTTTATTGCTATCGATCTGGAATTCTCCTTATCTATTTGCTCCTTAAGTGAATTTGTTATCATTTGATCTCTTTCTCAGACTCCTCCCCCTTACCCCCCCCCCCCCTCCGACCCCAATTCTATATTTGAGCAGACATCCGTTGTATCTATCTATCCCCAAATTTAGGGGTAATGTTTATCTATCTATCTATCTATCTATCTATCTATCTATCTATCTATCCATATGTTTCTCCAGCTGCAGTAGTATACCCCATACACTAGACTCAGAGCAAACTTACAGTGATCAGCTGTTGACTGAAGTTTATACATTTAAATCAACATAGAGAAATTAAAAACGAAGAGTTTTAAGGCTTTTCTCATACAATTCCTTCGGATGTACATAGAGATTCCACCAGTATAATTGTTAGTGATGTTCATAGTATATATTACAGATATATTTTGTATATAGTGTTGTGCACAGTGAACTATATACCCATATATATTCCGGTTTGGTTTATTTTGTACGTCTGAAGGGATTTTGAGACAAGCTTAATGTTTTTCATTTCTCTATGATTTCTATATTTTTTAGATTTATTTTTATTTATATTGTTTTGAAAATAATATTTTCAATTTTGAGTAGTTTTCCACTGTTACACTCCTCACTACATTCATTGTAAAAATACTTTTATTTTGATCTCAAACAAAATAGAAAAAGTAAAGCCCTGGCAAAAACTTTTTCGCACATAATACAGATATATGGCCAATTTCTTAATCTTGCTACCATAGGCACAAACATAGGTCGTACCTATCCACGTACTGCTCTGGTAGAGCCTAACCATAGTGTGACTATGGTTGTACCTACGTTAGCATGACTAAGAAATTGGTCAATAAACATATTTGTTATTATTTCTAAAATAATTCATTTAACGTTTATAACTACTTTAGTAACTCTTATGCCACAAGAATTGACAGATTTTTTCTCTTTTCAATACAGAAAATAAAGAAAATACAGAAAATACAGAAAATACAGAAAATACAGAAAATACAGAAAATACAGAAAATACAGAAATACAGAAAATACAGAAATTACACAAAATACAGAAAATACAGAAAATGCAGAAAATACAGAAAATACAGAAAACGACGACATCTTCTTAATTGTTACTCAAATAAAGGGTACCGATGTGAATCAGGAGACCCTTTAATATTAACTAAAATCTTAGATAATTAAATTTTTTTCAAAATGCAGAAAAAGAACTCGAAAATTTAAAATAAATAGAGAAATAAAATGATCTAAAGAAACCAAAACAAGTCCTATCTCTGATTTATGATGGTCCTGGTTCTCCCTGTTCTCCTGGTTCTCCAGATTCTATCCTGCACTGGAACCCTGAAACCACCAACTGTATTCATCTCCGTCCTAGGTAATAAACTAGTTCTTTTGGTTCTCCAGGTCCTAGTTAATAAATAGTAAATTAGTAAATATGATATCACCAACCCGACCTTTCAACATGCCTAAGAAATTAAGACCTTTGTTTACAATATTTGATCGTAAGCAAAGGAATTGAATCTTTGCCACAAACTCTCATTTTTTAATCTCTATATTTGTGCAACCCAATGTCATAGACCTTAGTTATTTCAAACTATGAAATCTGTTAGATTCAATAATATTAGTTTGAAATATTAAAGGTTTACACTAGAAGATTAAAAAGATACAGGAATGAGACAATTTTAGTTGTGACAGAGACTCAATTCCTTTCTAAAATATATTTCTTACATATCTTCGTTTTTAGAGATTTTAATATATTTAAAGTCACATAAATTTCACTGCAGGTAGGGGATGATTCAGTTCACGTGGCTTTAAATATTTCAGAAAGCTGTGACTTTTGATCACAATTTAACCCCTTAAACTTAATTTTTAACCTTTTTTCTTAAATACTTGGTTGTCGGCATATACGTTTGGAATGAAAAATTATAAAATAAACAAATCTGTAAGTTTTAAGATTGTTGAATTATAGACCAAAACACGTTTTATTTCAAATAAAGATACCGAATGCTTCTCACTCTGGTAAGTTCGGGGTGAGTTGCTATGTACCGTCCCGTTTTGCCTTTTATAGTACTGTACAGCTTGCTCTTGCTCCTTAAAAGTCGGCCCTGTTCTTGAAATGAATCTGAGTACACAGTGTAGCATGAGTTGCCTGAGATTTGACATGTCCCGATTTATAAATGGAAATTGGATTTCTCAGATATGTAAGATAAACATTTAGAGGAGAAAAAAATTTTTTTGTATGTTTTAAATTTTGAAGATATTATTTAATCCTTAATTTTTCCTTTTCTTATATTTTTATATTTTTTATAATTTTTATAATTTTCAGTACGGAATAAAGAACACACTCTGCCATATTTCCTGACTCAGTTGTACAATCTGGACTATCCTAAAAACAGAATCGTACTGCACATCAGGTTTTGTTTGTTAACTTAGTTTTCTTTGAGCCAATGTACAAGAAATTTTATGTTGAATTGTAGATCCTTAAAAAGTGCGTGTTCAGAAAAAAAGAAAGAACATCTGATTTCATGTCAGAAGTTCAAAACTTTTTTGTTGTAGATTTTCGAAAAGAAAGTTTTAATTTAAAAAAAAACATTTCAGATTTTCGATGAAGTTACATTTAATTAAACCCTAATTTTATGGCGGATCTACTAGAATAAGACAAATAGTTCAGCACTATTTTCAACTCTATTCAATGTTTCTGTGGAGTTGTAAGGATATCTTGATTTATTAATCCCGAGCTAAAAACTTTAAAATGGGATACTCTTAGTTCTGAAATCGCATTATCTGAATCTGTGGACATGTTTATTTTTAATTAATCCTCTCTTTTTTCATGCAACATTTCAAATTTCCCAGCTTCTAATTGGCTGTTCAGGATTCTGCATACGCCACTCTGATTGGTTGAATTTTAGACGCTTTCCTGGATACAAACTAAAGATCAAAATAATCCTTAGATTAACAACAAGAGTAAATTAAGTATTGATCTCTATATCCACAGTTGTAAAGCTTCCAGCTCAGCTTTAATATTAATAATATCGTCCATCATCTAGAACCCAGAACAACGAGGATAGAAGCTTGGAACTCCTTAATATGTGGTTGGAGAGTATCATTGAGAAGAAGGAATATCATAATATCATCAAAGTAAGAATTTGGAAAATATTCTTTAAGATTTGTATTATTTTTATTATCTATTATTATTATGATACAGTCCCTTAGGTAGCAAGGTATAGGTTATCCTTAGTTAATAGAACAGCCCCTTGTTTTTCTCAATACTATGAGGAGTAATAATTGAAAATAAAAATTTCAATCTTCCATGCAGTTTACTTTAGTTTAACCTGGCTTAGACAGGTAATTTAACTCTGAATTTATTTTTGTAAAATCAATGTTCGAATAATCCTTCATCTAAAAAGTGTTTAATTCTGTTTATTTATCCTTCATTGTTTCTGCAGCATCAGCAGAAGCCACCATTGAAAAAAAAATCAATTTTCGACTTAAAACAAAGGAGGATATATAATTCATCCTTGATCAGACAAAGACCTGAGGGTACTGATGTGAATCAGAAACGTTGTGAATGTATGAATATAAAAGAATTTTTGATTAGATTTTCTTTGGCTGATTTTTTCTGGTCTTTGGACTCTGATGTTTTTCTGACAGATTTATCAGTTTTGTCTTTTCTGGTCAATCAGAATCTGACAGTTGTGGCACCTATGCTGCCATCCATAGGTAATGTTTAGTTTCGTAAAGTTTAAACTGAAATATGTATTTTAAAGAACTCAAGACCCTTAAGTCTCTTTAACGAACGGATTACACATAGTATGTTACAGTGCTTAGGATCCATTTAATTTTGATGCGGTTCCGCACTAGAAAAAAATTAATCCAGGTCATTTCTTTAAAAGGAATTGAGTTTTTGTCACAAAATCAAATTTTCTTATCTCTTTCTCTTCGGAACCTGATGGTGTAAAGCATTGATATTTCAAACTTAGATTTTTCTATTTAACAGAATTAAAAGTTTGAAATATCTAAGGTCAACAACCATAGAGAATAGAATATATAGAGAGGAATTAAAAGAATCTCTCGGTATGAATATTTTCAGTCCCTTTCAGCCTGAAAGGGAGTTCAAAGTGTACAAATCATGTAAATGATCACAAATTATATGCAGTATAGAGTACATTAATACAGTATGTTCCCTAGTTGTACAATCTGGACTATCCTAAAAACAGAATATTTTCTAGTAAATTCCTCTCTATATATTCTATTCTCTATGTCAACAACACTGGGTTGGTAAGATACTAGGGATTAGAAAATCAGAGTTTGTGACAAAGACTCAATTCTTTTACTGAATTTTTTTAACAAAGCAGAATTTTCAAATTTTTGTCTTATTTTTTCCCTTACATTTATGCTAGAACTCGATGAACCATTCAGAAAACAGGAAATTTTTACAATCTCTCTTTTTTCAATAGTTCAGATTTGGGTTTTGAGAATAAAAAAGTTTTTGGTTGATATTTTGCCCCTTGGATCCCCATATTTTTGTGAATCCGGATCCAGAAAGCTAAAAGGGACAAGGTGTTACAATAATCTTGATTTTTAAACCTTTCTGTGCCAGTGCAATTGTTTAAAAAAGAATTTAATTACCTTCCTCAAATTCGTGGCTTTTTAATCCTTTTATCTTTTACAATCTTCAATGTAGCGATAGTGTAGAGTGTAGACCTTTGATATTTCAAAGTATGCATTCTGTTTGATCAAATAGTCATAGTCTGAAATATCAAAGTTTACACCATCAGATTGCAAACTTTTTACTTTTTGAGGTTTGAAATTATTTCTTTTATGCACAGGGCGTTACAGTAACTTTTGTTCACAGGGCGTTACAGTAACTTTTGTTCACAGGGCGTTACAGTAACTTTTGTTCACAGGGCGTTACAGTAATTTTTGTTCACAGGTCGTTACAGTAACTTTTTTTCACAGGGCGTTACAGTAACTTTTGTTCGCAGGGCGTTACAGTAACTTTTGGGGAGGCATGTCGGAATCCTATTATTACGAACGTGTCCCTCTGTACAGGTATAGAAATATTACTAAAACTTTACATTTGCCTTGTTAATCTGTTTGTCTGTCTGCACATATCCAATAAACGTCAAAGCGGCTGTACTGAGCAAGCCCAATTTTTTTTTGTATATACAGACTCAGATGCGTCAGAACGAGACAGTTAAACAAATACCCCCCCCCCCCCTTTATCTTATGAGATAAATGTGCAATGTGTAGAGATGCGGTGTCAGTTGAACTAAAAGATAGAAATGAACTATAAGTCCTAGTTCAACACTCTCCTAAAGGGTAACTAAGATATTTCGTAAAACAATCCCTTAAGTTGAATGTTCATCTTGAAATATTTTTCTAGTACGATATTGGACCGGAAGGAGGTTGGATGCTTCGAGGTTCCCATGGTGCACTCCAGCGTGCTGGTCAGCTTGAGACAGGAGGAGGCCGACCTTATCTCCTATACTCCGGAGGATATAAAAGATTATCCAGGTACTTATTTTCCTTTTAAGATGTTTTAAACAAGACCTTTGCGACGAAAACAACTTATTTTAATTGATTTTTTTTTTCAAATCTTCACATAAATGTTAAAATCAAAGTGAACAAGTAATTTTAAGTATTCCAATTCAATTAAGAAGTATTATCAACTTTTCACAACGGTAACCTTGAAATTTTTATCTAAGTTAAACGGAGAATGTCACTTCTTCAGGGCAGAAGCCCGCTAGTGACTTTTTACAATTTCAAACGGGAAAAATTATCAGTTTTTAAAAGAAAAACAATTGAAAATATCGATGCCCTGTTCAAACTTCAATTACTTTATTTGATGAAACTTTTTGAATGCACTTCAAATTTCGTTAACAATCCTTTCAGTTGACAAAAAAACATTGTTTTGGGACCACACGACGATATTATCATGTTTTAGGACCGCACGATGATATTATCATGTTTTAGGACTGCACGACGATATTATCGTGTTTTAGGACCGCACGACGATATTATCATGTTTTAGGACCGCACGACGATATTTTCATGTTTTAGGACCGCACGACGATAATATCATGTTTTAGGACCGCACGACGATATTATCATGTTTTAGGACCGCACGACGATAATATCATGTTTTAGGACCGCACGACGATATTATCATGTTTTAGGACCACACGACGATATTATCATGTTTTATAGGACCGCACGACGATATTATCATGTTTTAGGACCGCACGACGATAATATTATGTTTTAGGACCGCACGACGATAATATCATGTTTTAGGACCGCACGACGATAATATCATGTTTTAGGATCGCACGACAATAATCATGTTTTAGGACCGCACGACAATGATATCATGTTTTAGGACCGCACGACGATATTATCGTGTTTGCTCTCTCCTGTTCCTTGAACGGTATCCCCATGCACGTGTGCAACCAGAAAGAGTTCGGTATCATCATGCTACCTCTGGACGACGACCAGAAACTCTCCGATGACCTAATAACTCTGCAGAATACCCTGGTAGAGGTCACAGTAAAGAATCCGCCTCTGATACCTGATTCAATCTTTCATAGGTTTCTTCCGTCTGCCCCGGAGCCTAGTAAACTAGGCCTAGATGAAATATACATGATAAATCTAGGTTAGGTAAAGGGAATGTTAACATAAAGTCGTAAACTGAAAAGGGTAAAGAGTAGAGACTAAATAGAATGATAATGATCTTTCAACCCTTAAGTATTACAAACCCTTTAAAATGCAGTAATATTAATTTTGACGAAATTTCATTCTAATTTTGACAAGAATACCTGGATTTCTTTCTAGTCATAATTAATTCAATAATAATTGAATGATTCAAGTTTTAATGGAATTGATTTTCTAATTCCTTTACATATCTTTTCATCTGATTTCGTAGACTTTGGATATTTCGAAATATAAATTCTGGTATTATCAAGTAGTGTAAATTTGAAATATCAAAGGTTTACACAATCAGGTTGTAAAGATTGAGTGATTAGAAACTTTTGTTTGTGGCAAAAATTCAATTTCGTTGAAACTTCAAATCCGGGACTCACTGTGAACATTTTTATATTTACTCATTACAGACACAAATCAGATTTTAATCCAGCCCATCCCCTTTTTTAGCGTTTAAACTCCCATAAGTCTTTTTTAAAAAAGAAAAAGAAAAATATCTCATTCACTACTAATGTTTAGAACGAAGAAAAGACAGAAAAGAACGTATGGAGTATAATTTTAGGCTCCTTGGAATTGATTATAGGTAATAGCATTTTTTTTTTAATTAGCATTTCAAATTGATAATGTAATGCTCTAAGGAACTGAGTCTCTGCCACAAACTCAAATTTTCAATCTCTATATCTTTACAACCTGATGATATAAACCTTTGATATTTCAAACTTAGATTATTTGATCTACAGAATTTGGAGTTTAAAGTATCTAAGGTTTACAACATTCGGCTCAAAAAAACAGAGTTTGTGGCAAAGACTTAATTTCTATCTAAAGTAATTGAGTCTTTGTCACAAACTTAAATTTTCAAATCACAATAAATATCCAACCTAATGGTTTAAACCTTTGATGTTTCAAACTTCGATTATTTGATGAAACAGGATTCTTAGTTTAAAATATCAAAGGTCTTCGACATCAGACTGCAAGAATATATGGCTTATAAAATCAGAGATTGTGGCAAAGAATCAATTCCTTGCTAAATTTTTAGATTGTTTCCTGCAATGGATGGGGCGAATATAGGTCCGGAGTATCTAGCAAAGCACGGGATAAAGATGCTTCCTGGATTCTCAGAACCATACCATGGACGACCTTTAAAGATGGGAGAGATAGGATGCTTCATGTCTCATTATAATCTTTGGCAGGTCGGAGCCTAGAGTCTAAAAGCCAGATTCAGGTTTTAAACCGGTTTTAAACTGGTTTCAAACCAGTTTTAAGCTGGTTTTAAACCGGTTTTAAACTGGTTCAAGGACTAAACTTTGATCAAACCAAGATCAAAACCTGATTTGCCTTTTAAAATTGCAGCACAGTGTTCAATTGTTAACTTATGACATTATCTATTACATCAGGCTCAAACTATTTCTAGGATATCCTAGAGAAGAATCATGATATGGTTCTAATTCTAGAATGTTACATAAGGTTCGAACTATTTCTATGATATCCTAGAGAAGAATCATGGTATGGTTCTAATCCTAGAAGATTTCATCAGGCTTGAACTATTTCTAGGATATCCTAGAGAAGAATCATGATATGGTTCTAATCCTAGAAGATGATATTAGGTTCGAACCATACTTTATCTCTAAACTGCAAAAACTTCTGAAGGAGCTCAAAGAAAGGTAAGATTTAACGAAACTATCTCTGAAATAATATTCCTCCCTTCTCTCTAATTCATTAAATCATGCTATTTCTGTACCTGTAGCGTACTATTCATTATCTTTGCAATAATAAGAGAATGGGACAAGAATTCAGCTGTCATGTAAACTGCAAATCTTTTGGAGAAATACAATTTTTGGTACAGTGGTAGGCGATTATAACAATACAATGAAGAAGAATTTTTAATTAAAGTTTTGATTGTTAACACGTTGTTTTCGAATTACAAGTTTACAAGTAAATAGGAAAAGCTTTTGAATTGACAGCTTCTCTTGAATTCTATTTATATGTGTTACCCTGCTGTTTAGCAGCTTGATATAAATCTACATTAAAATCGAAAGTCGGCTTCAATGTATTGATATAATCGCCTACCACTATATATTTTGTTTAGAAGAAATGAATGGGATCTAACATTCCTTGGTCGAAAACGGTCTAAAAATGCTAAGGTGAAATTAAAATATAAACTTTAACCGTTAGATTTATATAAAATAGGGAAAATGTCAAATGGATTAAAAATATAGGAATTGAGCATTACAAATTTAGATTTTCATCTTTCCATGCCAAAAATACTCTACGACGGCCAAAAATACCCTAAGACGGCTAAAAAAAACACTAGACGGCCAAAAACAATGCATTTCATCAATGACACACTACACAACACATTTTAATTAAGGTTCTCAACCTAAACTTAAACTTCTTAATATTTTAGAATATTTATAGTTATAACCCTACTCATCCCTTCTGAAACACTTTTAAATTTGAAAAAAATGACCCAGACATGATGTGCGATATACCGTTAGAACTGTCCTCATAGAGCATGGGATCGTGATGAAAGAGAGCCAAATAAAAATATCAAATTTTAATTTGTTTTTTTTTACATTAAGAATATTGTTAAAATATCTAAAAATTGAAAACTGTGTAGGAGCCCTGGTTGTCTGGCTCTGATCAGCTGGTGCAGGTGGACTACACCTACTGGACCCTGGCCTACCTCCTCACCAAGGAAGGGGCCAGGAGGTTGGTCCAAGGGAACCCTCTAGACAAAATGGTCCCGGTAGATGAGTATCTACCGATCATGTATGATAGGGAAGCAACAAACTCATTTATTTACAATCGTGGATTTTATAACAGTTTTTTTGTGGATTTTAAAGTTGAGATTGTTTTTTAAGGGATTGTTCAGGTTTTCTAAAAAGGGTTAAATCAAAGTTTTATTTAGGAAATCCCTCTTTTTAGATCTATTTTAGATTTTGTTAAGATATAAACACCCTTTATTTTAAAGGTACAAAATATGTTTGCCGCCAGTGAGAATATACATGTTAAACATATAACACCAGCTTGTTAAGCACTATGCCCTTGAAATTTCAAGTTTCCGTCTGATAGTTATAAGCTATGAAGGAGTTTTAGCTTGGCGTCATCTCATGATAATAGTTCAAACCTCAGCTCTTTCTTATTTTCTCACTCTTATAAATGTTTATGAAATTTTTGAAGAAATTGGAATTTTTCTTGAAGAATGGTATTTCCAATTTTCTTGTCGTATACTGAATTATTTCAGCAAAGATGAAGATAAAAAATTGATTTTACAAAAAAATAATTATTCGACCAAATAATTGGATTAAAGGACAACAGAAATGTTCTTAAAAATAAAAATAAATGTTGAAACCAAGTCTGTTCTTATATATGTGATAAAATAAAAGGTATTCAAATTAAAGTCTGATGAAAAATGTGAACAACCCCTTTAAAAGTCTGATGAAAAATGTGAACAACCCCTTTAAAAGTCTGATGAAAAAATTAAAAATTAATCAGCTTGTTTGTCTCCCCCAGGCATCCGAACTCAACCTGGAAATCTTATTTTACCAATAGAGATCTCAAGGCAGGAATTCATTCAGATTTAAAATAAAAGATTTTTGTATTTTTGTTTCTATTTTGGTGTGTTAACTCTACCCGTCCTCTAATTTTTCAATCCTTGTATATTTACACCCTGATGTAATAGACCTTAAATTATCAAAACTCCGAGTTTTGTTAAATTTAATAATCAAAGTTTAAATATCAAAAAGTCTACGCCATCGAGGACCAAATTTAATTAATTTAAGCTGCATCACTGAACCACCAATTGCCGGTTCAAATTTGAAACACCACACCGATTCAAATTTAAAGAATCAGAAAAGATTTTAAGCATTGATTCAAATTTGAACCGGCGGTAACCAGTTCATCGACCCCTCAAATTCATTAAATTCGGTCCCAGGTTGCAATTATTTAAGGATTACAAAATTCGGATCCTATTATAGCCATAAAATCTGATAATAAATAAAAATTGAATATATTTGGAAGAGGGTCCAAATGTGAAAAAACACATATACGTAATGATAATAATGATAATGATAATGATAATAATGATAATAATGATACTGATAATGATAATAATGATAATGATTATACTGATTATACTAATAAAAATGAAACTTTCTAAGCCTGATAAATTTCTCTGTTTTCATTATCTTTTTTTGTAATATGTCCAAATGTTTTTTTATATTTAAATGTCTTTTTGAATGAAGTATTTGAGAACTATTAAAATACATATCAGTATTATACTTTAACTACTACAATAATATCAACAACAATTACAAAGGAACTGAATTTTTGTCACAAATTCTGATTTTCTAATCCCTACATCTTTGCAACCTGATGGCGTAAACCTTTGATATTTCAAGCTATTATTATTTGATCTAAAAGAATGCATAAACTCAATTCCTTTGGATTAAATGGATTATCTTAGATTATTTGATCTAACAGAATTCATATAGTTTGAAATATCTAAGGTCTACGACATTGGCCTGCAAAGATATTGGGATTAGAAAATCAGAGTTTGTGGCAAAAACTCAGTTCTTTTAAATTGGATATTAATATCAAAATTAAGAATATGATAATAATAATAATGATGTTACTAATAAAAATGATATTAGTAGCAATGATATCAGCAATAATTAGAAAGTAGAATTGAATGGATACCTGGATACAGGGTCTGAGTGTTGAACCCCTCCTAGTGTATCCAACCCACTATACTGGAGAACCTGGATATATCTCGGATACAGAGGGAACCAGTATCATTGAGCTCCCAACCTCATCCAACCATTCAACCTCATCCAACAACTGCCAACCTCCTGAAAAATGTTCCAAAGACGAACTCTAAATTTATTTTTATTTTTTTACAAGTAAAATTTTTGTGCCATATTTAAGCTTGACCAATGGCTGTGAAAAAAGATATTTTTTTGGTTTATGTATTTCTTTCAAAAGGTAAAATATGATCAAAAAGCACTTTTTGTTTAAAGGGGATTTAAGTTCAAGGTACCCTCAAGGTACCCTCCATTCAGAGAAGGCAAAGCCTCATTAACAACGGTACCCTTAAAAACCTTTATCTGATCTTAAATGTGAAGACATTGTCGTTTATAAATAAATTCTAATAAAAAATATAATTTTTTTCTTTTAGTAGAATTGATATCTTTTTTAAGGCTATCGTTGTGATTTTGGGCGTTGTCGTCTTTGCATGGAGGGTCACTTGGAATTACACTTAAAGCCTCTTTATAAGTTTGCATTTCTGTACTTAAGTGTTTGAAAAAGAGTCCACTGTTTAGGAATCATCAACTGTAAAGGTTGAAGCCACTGCAAGCTATGCAATGTACAATATACAGCAACCGTACAGTGGACCCATTTACATAATTTCTCTTTATTTGCATTTAAAATTTTTGCTTATTTAACACTTTTTTACTAATTGTGTGTTACTTCTTCTTAATATTTTGTCAATGTTTGTGTTCTACAGTAAGACTCATAACACTATGAAATAGTAAAATGATATTTAAGAATTTTAGTGTAATTCCAATTGTGATAAATCAAATATGATTAAAAACCGACATTGTTAAGTGAAATTGGTCTGTGTGCACAATTACTGTGTTTAGTGTTCTTTAGACTCTTTGAAATCCAAAGGAATTAAGTATTTGCCGCAAACTCTGATTTTCTAATCTTTGCAAACCAATGTCGTAGACCTTACATATTTAAAACTATGAATTCTGTTAGATAAAATAATTTAAGTTTGAAATATAAAAGGTTAATGCCACAAGGTTGCACAGATATAGGGATAGGAAAATCTGAATTTGTTACAAAGACTCAATTCCTTTGAGTCCGATAGTCAATTCTCCCTCTTCCATAGTTTTATTGGTCTCACTGTGTAACGTTGTTTTACTGCACTCTAGGAGAAAATCCTATCTAATTTATCTAACTCCTTGCATTTACTTCTACTGCTTCCTTAATTAAAAGTGTTTTACTACGTACTTACTAACTGGGTGTGACTTTTTACTAATTTTTGTTACTTAAAAGTAACTATGTGTTTTTTTACTAACTTTTAGTTATTCTAAATCTGTGTTTTATATATTTTTAAAATGTATATATATTGTTCATAGATACAAGAATTTACCAAATAAAAGACAAGAGTGAATATGTTTTGTAGGCTAGATGTAAATAGATTGATATACATGTGTATTTTTAAATATCTATTTTTTTCATTGTTGTAATATTTTCTTAAAACAGCCTTTTCACTAAGAAACAGAGTTCTTGCCACAAACTCATATTTTCTTCAGGTTGCAAAGATAATGGGGCAGAAAATCAGAGTGTGTGGCAACGAGAGGTATAATCGAGATTTTACCTTCAAAAGCTTTGTCTGATCCAGAGTACATGAGATATCAACTTGCCTTATTCACTCTGAAAATTGATTACTTTTAATTGTGGATTCTCTGCAATTGCCCATTGTTAAATAAGCGAGAAAAACGATGATATCTTCCTCATCGAACAAAGGTTTAAATGGTACCGTTAAAAATCGGACATACCCTTTTTTATGGAGAGTCAGCTGTAATTTTAACAACTGTGACTTTAACGTTGAGTTGATTGTAGGTAGGTTTTACATCAAAAATAGATTGTTTAAATATGTTGGTGGCATAATATTGATTGAAAATTATAATCCTGTATTTTTGATTTAGAAAAAAATCTTTTAAGATAATGATGTTAGTTTATTTTTATTTCAAACGCAATCTTGACATTTTACGGTTTTTTTTCTCATATTGCTATATTATATTAAAATATGGCAATACATAAATATTAACTCTTACAAATCAAGATATATATCTTTCAAAGGAATTGACTCTTTGCAACAAACTCTGATTTTCTATCCCTATATCTTTGGATTCCAACGTCGTAAACCTTCGAAATTTCAAACTATGACTTTTGTTAGATCAAAAAATATAAGTTTGAAATATCAAAGGTTTACGAAATAGGGTTCCAAAGATATTGGGATTAGAAAATCAGAGTTTGTGGCAAAGAGTCAATTCCTTTCAATTAATTTAACTTTTTTAATTTCTTCAAAGGAACTGAGTTTTTGCCACAAATTCAAATTTCTAATCTCTATATCTTTGCCACCTAAAGGTGTAAACCTTTGATATTTCAAACATAGACTATTTGATCTAAAAGAATTCATAGTTTGAAATATCAAAGGTCTACGACATAAGGTTGCAAAGATAAAGAGATGGGAAAAACAGAGATTGTTACTATTTTACTGGGAAGATGATACAACTTGATATCAACATGAACTGGAATTATAAGAAAAAGTTTTTTTTTTGTTAATTTAAACTTTTTTTTTAAAGTGTTCTTAAATTGGTCCCTGTCCTTTCTAAGTAGTCTTTTTAATTTAAAAGTGAATAATCTAATTAAAATAATTCGTAGAAATTTAAAAAATTTATTCTTAAAAATTTTTGAAATTTTATAGCTGAGTAAAATGTTTTATAATCATACTTTTCGTCGAGCTGTTTCACATTTTTTCGTTAAAAAAAATTACATATTTCTACAGGCCTTTCTTGGGTTAGTTACAATTTTAAGCCTTGTTATTAAAATGAATGCATTTTAATATTATTTTGAAAACCATTAAAAATATTTTTTTTCAGATAAAAAAAATGTCAAAAAGATGGAATCGAGGTCTTTAAAAATAATCAGATTGACAAGAAGATCTGTATTTGTTAGAAAATCCTTGTGACGTTTACAATTTTAAATATAATAGAAAAAAAACTTTCTTTAGTTCCAAAAACTAAAAAAATCTGAAATAAATCTCGCATTAAAACTGCACTAATCGAGGCTAACTATGAACGAACTTAAATCAGTAAGGTATAATTGAAGTGACGGGACGGTACCAGAGACCGGTACAGTTAGTACAGTAAGGTACAATTGATGTGACGGGACGGTGCCAGAGACCGGTACAGTTAGTACAGTAAGGTACAATTGAAGTGACGGGACGGTACCAGAGACCGGTACAGTTAGTACAGTAAGGTACAATTGATGTGACGGGACGGTGCCAGAGATCGGTACAGTTAGTACAGTAAGGTACAATTGAAGTGACGGGAAGGTGCCAGAGATCGGTACAGTTAGTACAGGAAGGTACAATTGATGTGACGAAACGGTGCCAGAATCTGTGCAGTACGATAAGTGAAGCCGATGCTGATGTAGTGTACATTGTAAACTTGAATCAACATTAATAACAACACAATTGTATCAATCAAAGAATTTCTCCTCTGCAACCTGTCTGATTGTTCAAAGAGAATAAATGATATAACTTAACCATCCTACTCTACTATCCTGGAAGTGAACCCAACCCACTAGCTCTGTCAAACTGTCCTGTATAAGATGACCCACGGAGCGCAGTTCCTGGGTTGCTCTCAGGATGTTTTCAACGCTAACACTGAACCAAGGTTAGAAAAACTCTAATTCGCTAATCCTCATATCTTTGAAATCTAATCTTGTCTAGACCTCTAATATTTTAGACTTTTAATTTTGCTAGAACTTATAGTTTGAAATATCTAAAATTGCAACATTAAGGTTGCAAAGATACTAGGATTAAGGTTGCAAAAATACTAGGTTTGAGGTTGCAAAAATACTAGGTTTGAGGTTGCAAAGATACTAGGATTGAGGTTGAAAAGATACTAGGATTGAGATTGCAAAAATACTAGTATTGAGGTTGCAAAAATACTAGGATTAAGGTTGCAAAAATACTAAGATTGAGGTTGCAAAGGTTCAAGGATTAGAAAATTAAAAGTAATCAGTTTCTTTCATCTTTAAAGGGATCGTTTACGTTATCTGAATTGGCTCTTATCTATCCTGAATCTCAATGAATCTATAAGACTAAATACTGAAATACAAAAATGAATTATGTTACAAAAATTATATTTTGTTTGAATATTGTTGTTTTTTAGAAAGTTTTGATATTAATAATCAAAGATTTTTTGTCTGGAAAATTTTACTTGAAACACTTTTTTTAGTGACTTCTGTACACGTGAGAATTGGCAAACGGCTGTACTGTACTTAGCAGGGGAAATGGAAACCCTTGGATTACCCTCACCATGTACAAAGGTAAATATGTACAAGAAAGCAGCTGTACTAGCAGGGGAAATAGAATATTATTAAAGGTTAGCTTTAAGCCAGTTAAAAAAAAAACCTGCAACAATTGTACTTACTCCAAATCTGCTCTCAGGGGCCGGTGTTGGGGCCTGAATACCCCGGGCCTAGAAACCATAAATGTTACTGATCCAGGCCCAAAATACATACAAATACAGTTATTTTTAATTTACCTATTTATTCAGAATGATAGTGAAGACGAACAAGCAAGCTTAGACGTGATCACGCTTGTCAATTCAAGCTGGAAGGTACAGGGTGTCCCACAAACAATGAGGCTTTCATGACAACCTGGACTCTTGAAATATATTCGGCTAAAAGTTATAATGGTTTTTTTTCTGTCTTAAATATATTCACACACACGGTTATTAACGATTGGGCAAAGCAAGATACATATTTTAAGTTACAGTGAACCATTCATGTAATCATTCTTCATGTTTATTAGGTCCCAGAAAACTCTAGACTGGGAACAGGGGAGTATTCAGGAATTTGTCCAGGGAGGGGGGGCTTAAATTTGTGTCTTTCCAGGGGGGGGGACTCAGCACCCGTTGGGGCATGAAAACCCCCTAAATCAATAGATTTCACTGGTCCAGGGGGGGATCTTAGTCCCAATACCTCCCCCCCTCCCTGAATAGGAATAAGATTATCATTCAAAATATGATTTTTAATACTACAATGAACATGAAAAACTACATTTGTACAAAAATCCATTTCAAGTTTTTTTACTTGTAAAACTATTTAAGCTTTACAACAGAATTTGGAGAAGAATGAAACAACGTTTTAACGTAATTTTTTATTTAAGTTGGTCCAACTGTATCGCGGCTCACTGAGAACAGTTTCTGAAATGGAAACCTTGGCTCGTAGAACAGCAAGTGACAGGTCCAGGCTTAAAAACGACAAAAAAACCAATTTTGAGAAAAATATTTGTCAGAGTATATAAAAAAACTAGTTTTTTAGCCTTAAATCAAACAATTTTTTTTATTTTTGGAAAAACCTTTACAGTGGACTGTACTCAGCGGTTCGAGACATATCTTTAAATTCACATATAAACATGATTTAAAAAATGATCAATGTTTTTTTAAACAAGAAAGAATAACAGTTATTTTCACATTCATTTGCGCTTCTTTATTATTTTCCAGTTTATTTAGTAAACCTGTAAGTTATAAAAGAATATGGTTTAAATCAGGACAAAATTCAACCATAAGATTTTCAGAGTAAAAGAGTTTCAGGTCATCATTAAAGTCGCATTCTTTGTGGTTCACCCTGTATAAGGATTAATTCAGTTTTTAAAACGTCGTAAAATGTTTGCCAATTGTTTCACGTCAATTCCTTTACTGTGGAAAAAAGACCCAAACGCTCATTTTACGTTTTTTAATCATCGTCAGTTACTAAAGAAGAATATCAATCTCCTTTTACCTTCCCTCCCCCTCCCTTACAAAACATATATCTTTGATTTTAAACTTTTTAAAATGGGCACACGATCCCTTTATTTCAAATATCTCAAAGAATTCATTTTCAGAGATCGTCTAAAGGCGAATTCTGCGAAACAGCGAGAAACCTTAATTCAAAGGTTGTATCATATAATATATATAATGTAAAGGAACTGAACAATATCCATAAACTTTAATTTTTTAACTATATGTTTGCAACCTGATGGTGTAAACCTTTAATATTTCAAACTAAGTTTATTCTATCTAAAAGAATTATAAAGGCTGAACTATCAAAAGTCTACGACATCAGGATTGAAAAGATATAGGGATTGTAAAGTTAGAATTAGTGGCTAGTGTTCAGTTCCTGTAATTTGAATACAGTAATTACCGGCAAAAAGTGGAATCATTGTCGCCTTCTACATTTCTTTTAATTAGTTCCATCATATTGAATTGTTTTAATGTTGAAACAATATTTAAACGCAAATCTTTTTATAGTCTTAAAAATTTTCATTACATTAATTCTTAAAATTAATATGACACTACTAATTTTATAAAGATAGATTAAAAATTGAATTGAATTTACACTTTACAGGGAAAGAACGTTGGCCGACAGCTGTGAGAAAGAGAGACAAGCTTCTGAACAATTAGAATCTGGAAATCAGAAACTTAAAGGTATACAATGTATATTTATAATATACAATGTATACTATACAGGGTGTCCCAATAAACATGGGAATTCAGTGACGAATTCGATATCGTCTTTTTAAATAATTCTTTGATTTAGTATAGTGATACCTACAGAGAAAGCTGTAATCTGTTTAGAGTTTCGTCTGCTATGTTCACATTTTGTTTGTTTATGTTTTGACTGCATACGGTTGTACTTAGTAAAAAAAGAAAATTAAAGTATACAAACAAAGTAAACTTGTCCGTTTTTACTGTTCATCTTGCGGAGACATTATTAACACACCTTTACAGTCTTTTACCCTTTTCATAAAATAAACTTTAGCAGACATAATAATATTATGGCTTTTTAAATTAGGTATTACAATGCTAATTTAACACAAAGACAATATCAAATTCGTCACTGAATTCCCATGTTTTTTGGGAAACCCTGTACAATATACACGGAGCAGTGCAAACTACAGTTACAGACTATAAAGAGACTGTAGTTGATATTTCAAATAATGTTAAATGTACCCTGAATTTTTAGAGTGGCAACGTTACACTTTAAAGTTTTGTCTGATCCAGAATGAATGAGATATCCATGTTTTTTATGTTGAAAATTGATTGAGAAAACGGTTTAAAGGGTACTAATGTATATCAAACAAGCCCCTCTTTAATGGAGAATTACTCTTAATTATGCAAACAGTCCCTTTAAGGCAAAATATCCAGGTGCTAAGGAAGAAGTTCGAAGATTAATGTCTGTACTCCTCCAACGAGAATCTAAATATAATCATGAAATAAGAAGATCAGAACAAGAGAATTCTAAACTAAAGGAACGGTTGCTCAAGGTAAGAATCTGAATATAATCATAAAGTAAGAAAATCCGAACAAGATAATTTTATACTAAAGGAACGGTTGCTCAAGGTAAGAATATAAATATAATCATGAAATAAGAAGATCAGAACAAGAGAATTCACATTCGTGTCATGTCTTTTCTAAGAAATGTCCGATGAGGGAAATGTCTAATCTAAGAAATGTCCGATCAAGGAAATGTCTAATCTAAGAAATATCAGATCAGGGAAATGTCTAATCTAAGAAATGTCCGATTAGGGAAATGTGGAATCTAAGAAATGTCCGATCAGGGAAATGTCTGATCTATGAAATATTCCGTCTTTAAAAAGATGGACGAAGACGACGACTCTGGACGTATCATATTTAATGAATAAACATATTAACACATCTCATTACCCTTCTAAAATATGGTTTAACATGTTTTTATTATTATTATGATAATTGATTCTACAAATAATTAAGCATCTACTATATATATATATACTTTGCTTGTCTGTTTGTTTGTTTGTATCCAAAAACCAAAAAACGGCTGAACCGATCGGGCGCAAATTTTGTATGGGATTTCACATGACCCCAGGGAAGGGTATGGATGATCAAAATTAAAAAAATAACAAAATTGGATTTTTATTAAATTAAAAAAATAATTTTTTTTAGAAAATTCGCGAACCTTTTTTTTCATTGTTTTACAATTGTATACAAAAAGAAAATGTTCACAATATAAGTAGAAGATGGGCGCAAATCGCCCTTAAATCCTATGATATTAATTAAAAAAAGCTAGATTTTTGGCATCCAACAGTTCTCATAGAATAACTAGTCTAAAAACTTATTTATGCAGATAGGTCCATTTTAAAAAATGTCAATAAAACATTACTTTGCCAATATGCTAATTGCGGGAAAATTCATCCTAGGAAAATGTGCTGACATATCGTAAAATTTCATTTGACGGGCTCTTACAAAATCTCAAAAAAGTTACATGGGATTTTTATTATCTCCTAGAGGTCCTTCAAGCACGCTGTGTTATAGATTACAAACGGCAAAATGGGACAGTACATGCCAAATGGGACAGTACATGCCAAATGGGACAGTACATGCCAAATGAAATGTTTTGCTGTGAAGTCTCGTCCTATAGTGGATCAAGTAAGTTTTAATGTAAAATTTCCTAGGTGGGAAATATCGGAAAATTATAATTTAGGAAAAATCCCTGAAAAGAAATATTAAATTTTAGATTCTGGTAGAGAAGGGTGAAGGGAAGGGTGTAGGGTGGGGTATGGAGCTGGTGGGCGGGCTACCAGGAAAAGGCGGGGCTAGAGGCAGGTGGGCTACTGAACAGGCAGGGAGGAAAGAGGAAGAATTATTCACAAAAATTATAGGAATTTTATTAACACTTAAATGAATTTGATTTGAATTGAAAATGAAATTGATTAAAAGTTTTCAAGAGCAAATTTTTTGGAATATTCATTATGACATTTTAATAAAATTCTGTAACAGACGATCTCGCCAAAAAAGAAGAATTGAATTCAAATTACAATTCAGGTAATCTAATTTTGAATTCATTTTAGAGATAGAAACGTCTGAAATAAATTGATTTTTCTATTGAGCCGGGAGGTTTGACCGATTTAAATAATTAAATGAGTTTAAATCGATTCTTCTATTCATAATTTTACAACTTTGTAAACAATATAAAATATAATGTGGAAACTAGTTTTTTCTTTTTTTAAAATAAATATTAAATATGTAAACTTTATGTCTCATGCCTTTTTCTTATAAATTGTTGTTAAGGATATGAGTCTTTGTACCAAACTCAAACTTTGGTGGTGGTGGTGGTGTAAACCTTTGATAGTTTAATCTTAGATTATTTTATTTAACAGAATCTACGGCATTAGGCTGCAAAGATAAAGGGATTTGAACATCAGAGTTTGCGGCAAAACCTCAATTCCTTTAAACAGAAAATAATTATAAATGTTTTTATATATTGAGACTCTTGGTAAAAAGCAAATGCATCTTTCTTACTTCTTCAAAACGTGAACCCTTTGAGGACCTGTTCGCCTGTTTTTTAACTTTATATTTTTTATAATAAGATATTGTTCAGTATTGGTTAAAGCCTTATCCTCCATCCTTGAAACTCTCCAAGGACTGCTGAGAGAGTTTTGTGTAGATTTTGAACCAATCCATCTACCTCTTGAAGTTAACTGCGAACTACTAGTAGAAAGAGTTAGGTGAGAGGTCACAATTTAAAAAAAAATCTGGTTTATAATAAAAGAAAACTTAAAGAACAAGCAGTTTTTAAATATGATTTCATATTGTGAAGCTTCTTTAAGTTAAAAACATCTTGATGCCTATTTGTACCAAAAGGCATATTTTTTGGGTTTGTTTTAACCTTCAAGTTTTCTTACTTTTATAATGCTTGATTAAATCCCAAGATTGAAATAATCAGTTTTCAAAATTACCAACATTGATATATTATTCATACTTAAGCAGCTATAGATTTTGAGAGTTCCGTTATGAATCCGGCATTGCCATCTTTGCATGGAGGGTCACTTGAAATTACAATTACAGTTCCTTCAAAAAAATATTTTTAGATTGTTTTGTGAACTTCTTCACGAGTCCCTGCGTGGAGGAAAGGTTGGAGTGCAAGTTCAAATCATGGAGGAGAAATTAAACCTCTACGAGGAGAAACTTGTTCTCTATGAGCAGATTATACAGGAGCAAAACTCAAACATAAATTTTTTAAAGTTTGTAATATATGATAAAATAGGTTTACCATATAGCTATCCTGAGAATATCATGAAAGCTCATTTTAACTTCCTTCATTACAGTTAAACCCTAAATAAGCCATACATCGAAAGAATTCATCAAATGCATATTCTTCACTTTCTGATAATGGAAAGTTGCAGATATTTAGTTTTTTAACTGTTCCCGCATATTCATGGCTATTTATTTATTTTCGCAAATACTGAGATTTACGTAAAATAGTATAAAACCCATTGAAAAATTATCAAGACGACATTTGATAAACTTTTTCCATGTATGGCTCATTTAGGGTTTAACTGTAGGAGAATGACTTCGCTGAATCTAATAACGACCTCGGACCTACAGACTCAATATTGAATCTTATATAACGACCTCGGACCTACAGACTCAATATTAAATCTAATAACGACCTCGGACTTACAGACTCAATATTGTATCTAATATAACGACCTCGGACCTACAGACTCAATATTCTAATAGCGACCTCACCTACAGACTCTTTATTGACTTTAATAACGACCTAGAACCTACAGACTCAATATTAAATCTAATATAACGACCTCGGACCTACTGACTCAATATTCTGATAGCAACCTCACCTAAAGACTCTATATTGAATTTATTAACGACCTCGGACCTACAGACTCAATATTGAATCTAATAACGACCTCGGACCAACGACTCAATATTGAATCTAATATCGACCTCGGACCTATACAGACTCAATATTGAATCTAATAACGACCTCTGACCTATAGACTCAATATTGAATCTTATATAACGACCTCGGACCTACAGACTCAATATTGAATCTAATAACGACCTCGGACCTAGAGACTCAATATTGAATTTAATAACGACCTCTGACCTACAGAATCAATATTGAATTTAATAACGACCTCAGACATACAGACTCAATATTAAATCTAATATAACGACCTCGGACCTACAGACTCAATAAATACCAAGATTGGATTAATTCGATTTTTTTTATCAAAGCTCTTTGTGAGCCATAGTTGATCAACGTAGACTAAGTTGAACCACTTGCCTTAAGCTTTACCTGGCTTACTAAAGAAGTGGTTTATCTATACGTCAACGCAGTTTAACATGTCTTGCTATTCATTAAATTTGGTCTCTATCTCTTTAAAATTGATGAATATATGTAATGAATTGTGGTGATACCAAAAATCTGAAATGTACCTCTGTCAATTTGTAAAGAGTAAAGACCTATTTTTCTAAACTTCACCAAATGACTTGCCTCTTAGACCCATGATGAGTGTAATCACGTAATAAAATAAAGTCTATTTTGTTTCTTACAAGTTTTTTATTTGAGTTTGTATCTCAGAGTTGTGAGACGAGTAAGGATAAACAAGGTGGAGTGCTCCAGGAGCTAGTAGAGCTACGGAATCTAACCTTGTCAGGACTAGAGAAAGAGAAAGCAGAGATAGACCAACAGAGAAGGATCATCAACAAGGAGAGAGAGCAGTTAGAGCAGGTTGGAATAAATCATGTTGATAAAAGTTGAAACCCAACCAACCCTTTATCTATAAGATTAAACCAGTTAAGAATGCCATGTTTAGTATCCAGAATTTTACAGGTCTTGCCGCCTTTAGCCTATGTCTCAAACATTTTTTTCTTTTATACAGATGATTATTTGTTTTTCATTGGCTACGTAATTTAGGCCTGAGGTACTTATTTAATGAATATTGCACTGCAATGAAAATCTTCATAAAACTATGGAATAGAATGACGACATTTAAGCAATCTTAAGTGTTTTATGCTGTTCTAAGGCAAATAATTTTGAAAGTCGGCTTATTTAGCCTGTGTTGTTGTTGTTAATTCGTGATATTTAAACTATTCTAGATTATAACTTGAGTCTAACACTCGTCTTTCTATTACATAGTCCCACAGTCTTGTATTTTTCTTCCATTAAACTCATAGATTTATCTATGATTAAACTATTTAATTCTAAAATCTTGCAATTTTTCTCAGAAACTTCCTTTTCATAAGAGATATTATTTATCTATCTATATAAATACTTTGCTTGTCTGTTTGTCTGTCCGTTTGTATCCGATAAACGTCAAAACGGCTGAACCAATCAGGCAAAAATTTGTGTGGGACCTCACATGACCCCAGGGAAGGTTTATAGATGATCAAAATTTCAAAAATTAGCCTCCAAAAAATTCGATTTTCATTAAATTTTAAAAATCCACTAAATTTGTTTGATAAAATCCACGAATTTTTATTATTTTGTTTTACACAGTATACACAGAGAAAATGATCACAATTGAAATAAGGGATGGGCGCGAAGCGCCTTGTAAGCCTAGGTTATAAAAAGAAACGATGAATAAACTCCTCATAATCCTAACAAAGGGGCTGAACGCTTGCCACAAATACTGATTTTCTCTTTGCTAAACTATGTCGTAGACCCTTGATATTTAGAACTCTAAATTCTGCTAGATTAAGTCACAACTGGAGAAGTTACAAGGTCGATAAGTCCTACCAATGATTTCTAATAATTGAACTTCGTCATTCAAGAGAACATTTTCTTTAAATCGCAATTTTTTAAGGAGTTTGCAGACTTGGCGTTGGCAAAAGAGCAGCAGATCATAGAGGACTTTCATAACATTGAGGGGAACGATTCTGTTCCAGGTTTCATTTTAAACATTGATAAAAATGATTAAATTTAGAGTTATATTGTTCACTTTTGTTTATTTGAAGGTATATTGCTGTTACCCCGACAAACGGTAGAGCTCCCACCTTCCTGGGCTCTGGGTTCAGTTATAGTAACTCCCAGTTCTGCCAGGTACCTAGAGTAAATGCAAACAATTTTGCAAAAAAGTCTTTTGTAAAATATAATTTTGTTTCTAGATCTCCAATTGAAGGACCAGGAACGGTTCTTGGATATTCTGCCTCTGTCTCCCGACCAGCGTCAAGACCTAGCTCCAGGCCAGGTAAACAGCTTATATTTCCCGATCAAGTTTTAAAGGCCGGGTTCTGTATTAAGACCAAGTAATAAGCTTAATCCCTCATTAAGGAATTGTTTACTCGCCTCGCAGTATAATTTTCTTTATACTTTTGCAGCCTGATGGTGTAAATCTTTGATATTTCAAACTTTGTCTATTTGATCCAGCAGAATTCATAGTTTGAAATGTGGAAGGGGTATGATGGCATGAGGCTGAAAAGATGTAGGGATAAGAAAACTAGATTTTGTTGTCTAGTAATCAATTCCTTTCTGTTTATCAGGATCCCAGCCCGGAAGTAGATCACAAAGTATTACAAGAGATCCAGCTAAACAGGTGATTGATCATAAGTACAGTGGGATAAAATTGTTGAATAGGAAGACGACATTTAAGCAAAATTATGAGAATTGAATGCTGTTATCAACAAAATAGTTGTAACAATAGATTAAAATTAAAAATCAAGTGAAATGAGTCCATGTTTATATACATTGTACACTTAAACCATTAAAATAAGGCTTTTTTCAGGGTTGGACTATTAAAGATCGTACTTAAGTATGTATAGTCGTCTTCCTTTTCCATAGTTTTGTGTAAGCCACTTCATTAATAAAGTTTTTTAATTTTATATTTATAAGTGAGCCAGCATATAACAGATGTACTTTTACACCATTATTGCGCATATTGCAAATGAAAATTCTAATTTTAAGGAATTTATATTTTTATTAAAGATTGGATGACAGAGCTTTGCAGTCAAGTGTTGGTAATTTATCTCGAAAAGTGTTTTTTCTGTGAATTTTTCCAAGTCACATTTGCAGAGAATCCGCAAAAAATAGCATGGATATCTAATTTATATTTGATTTGACAAAACTTTTTAAGGGTACCGTTGTAAATCGGGTATTGCCATCTTTGCATTACGCTTAAAGTCCCTTTAAAAATAAACTCCCGGAAGATTTTAATGTTACGCCTCTAATCTTCTGTTTGTAAAGGTGAAGGGTAAAAGTCCTGCAGCATCTCTGATAAACCGACGAAACAGTCGTCAGTCGGACGGATTCTCCAGTATGGGACGGAAAACTCGACCTAAATCTGCAAATATTTCTCCGGTTCGGTCCAGTCGAGATCTCACAAGTCCTACACAAACCTTTAGAAAGTTTTCAGGTAAAAAAAAACTTCAAATTCTAAATTAGTATTTTAGTGCAAAGTATTAAAAATATTTATTTTAGAAAAACTCATTATTCTCCGCAATCTCAATAGTTCTCTCTATAATCCTTATTTATTTTCCCCTCATGTAGACCCTTGATATTCCTGCTGCTATGATTTTACTAGATCTAATAGCCTAGGTTTAAAATATTGAAGGTTTACATCATCAGGATTAGAAAAGGAACTCAGTTCTTGTCACAAACTCTGATTTTCTAATCCCTATATCTTTGCAATCAAATATCGTAGACCTTAGTTATATTTTGAATTGTAAAAATTTTGCATAGTGTAAGAACGGTAAATGTTTATTGTTTATAGTTAAGAATTTAGAAATTTTTAAAACTTTTTTTGGAACTTTTAAAAACCCATTACGAATGAACCAAATAAAGTCCAATTATTAATTAGGGACTGTGTCCCGTAGTCCGAGTAAGTCTAGAGATGGCTCCGGTACTAGACAGGATACTGAGGTCTACTCCCGTTCCTTACCCCGGAGTCAACTCAATCTGAAACCTAAGCGTGGGAGTGGTGTGTGGAGTAAACCTCCTACTCCGGGTCCATATTGTAGTCCAGGGACCAGTGATTCAGAGCTAGGGTTCAACAAATAATATTCATTTATGTTATTTTGTGTGCATATTTATTGTATTTAATATTAATATCCTAAAACCAAAGTCATGTTCTCTAAAACGTAATTATAAATTAGTTTACAAAACAAGCGCTTAAACGATTCACAAAGCTATCCTTTAAATACACAGTAGACAAAATTTTAATCGCACCCCTTTTTTATAAAGTGACATGTCCGATTCACAAAAGCGGCGCCATTAAGGCCAAGAATAACAGAATACTTTATTTACTTAAGAAATTGGTAATGCCTGCGTCGGGCTTTACAAAGAACTCAACTCGGGGATTTCTTTACAAAGAACTCAACTCGGGGATTTGGTCTGTTTGATTTGTCCGTCGATCCCACTTTTAATTACAAATTAACTATTTATAACACTGTTATTTTGGTTTGCAGTGTTATAAAGTTTTTGGACAGAAATTTTCTCTTTATCGAGAAGGTCCAAGGCTTTTTAGATAATATAATCTAAAAAGGCGAGAACCTTCGAGATAGAGAAAATTTAAATCCAAAAACTTTATAGCACGTCGTGCCAAAATAATAGTGTCATAGGTAATTTTTTGAAATGTGTGTGTACTTTTCTTATTTCAATGCTATAGATCACACAAGCTTTGCTATAATGTACAGCTAATTTAACTTCATTGCACGATGATTGCTTTATAACACATTTATTATAAAATTCACGATGAAGTGAGGAAGAATGATAAAGTGCACAATAGTTTCATAAAAATGTTAACATGGTTACTTCATCTTTTTCACAAAAAAAGCTCAATATAGTTAAATTGACAATCCAGATTTTACCGTGACCCTCCATGCAAAGATAGTAATGCCAGATTCACATCGGTAGCTTTAAAAGTTTGCCTGGTCAAGTATAAATTAGATATCAATGTTTATAAATTCAAAAAGTATTTTTTTCAATTGCAGTTTCTCTAAAAATATGTCTTATGAATTTCATACTGCAGGACAGGGTCCTTATAAAATATCATAATTACTGTTTTAAATCTAAAAAATTGACGATATCTTCTACATCCTTAATCATACAAAGGGTTCAAGGGTACCGTTGTGATTCAGGCATTGCCATTTTTGCATGAAGGGTCACTTGAAATTATGCTTACAGTTCCTTAAGCGTGTATTTAAGATAAACATCATGAACGTTTTTTTTTTAAATATTCTGTTAAAGTATTAGATTTATCCCAAATATACAATGTTTATTTTTTAGTTTTAAGATAAAAGTTTGGTTGGTTACTAAACCATCATGGAGGGGGGTTAGGGGAGATTTCCCCCCCCCCTTCCTTCTTAGTTTAAGAGTCCTTAAGAGGTTTCAAAATTAAAAATATATTTACGAAAAACTAAGGTGTTGTAATTATGAAGCTATGATTACAGGATTACTCACAAAGATTGAGAATTTAATGGTGAAAGGACAAAATTTACTCAGACTTTTTTCTTTACTAAATTCATGGTTGTATTTTAGATTAAATCTTGTTTAAATGCATGAGGGGACATATATTATAGGGTTAGTCAGAAAGAATGAGTCTTTAACGGATAATACTGAGTCTATAATTTCAAGAATTTATTTTTGAACTTTGGATTTTTTTATTGACATAATTCATCCTTAAATCTTGAATTTTAAATATTGATTTTGTAGTCATAAAAGTCTCGAGTTCAATACCTTTATTATTACTATTTCTTCCCAACCCGTCCTATAGGGCAGTTTCCTCTTTATTTCTTTCCAACTAGTCCACGTTCAGTTTCTCCATTATTTCTTCCCAATCCATCCCAGTTCAATTTCGTTCCCATAACCCATCCGACCCGTACATGTAGTTATTTTTTTCCGTTATTTCATTCCAATCTATACCTGCAGTTCAGTTTCTCATTTATTTCATCCCAATCCATCCTAATTCAGTTTTTCCTTTATTTCTCCCCTACCTATCCCAGTTCAATTTCTCCGTTATGTTCCCAAATCCATCCTAGTTTCTCCGTTATTTCAGCTCAATCCATCTCAGTTCAGCTTAAATCAGTTATCCATCCCAGTTCAGTTTCTCCATTATGTTTCTACGTTATTTCATTTCATTCCATCCTAGTTCAGTTCCTCCGTTTTTTATCTCCAATCCATCCTGCAGTTCAGTTTTACCGTTTTATCTATCTAATAAATCCCAGAGTTTAGTCTCATCGTTAATTCCTCTCCATCCATCCTAGTTCAGTTTCTCCGTTATTTCTTTCTAATCCATCCCAGTTGAGTTTTACCGTTATATCTATTTAATCAATCCCAGAGTTTAGTCTCATCATTATTTCCTCTCCATCCATCCTAGTTCAGTTTCTCCGATAATTCTATTTAATCAATCCCAGAGTTTAGTCTCATCGTTATTTCCTATCCATCCATCCTAGTTCAGTTTCTCCGTTATTTCTTTCTAATCCATCCCAGTTGAGTTTTACCGTNCCGATCTACTAGCACGTGGTTTTACAGCTGCGATATGGACATGTGGCCGCAGCGCCCGGCCCCCAAGCCTGTCCTAGCCGCGGCGCTCGGCCCCCTAGCCTGTCCTAGCCGCAGCGCTCGGCCCTCGAAATTGTCTTAACCTAACCTAACCCTCAAATAATACAAAAATAAACAGCTGGCGTAGGTCCGATATTGCAGTAGGTCGGAAAGTTAGTAGGTCGGAAGTTCAGTAGGGGGGATATTGCGTATAGACGATGTAACATTACCCTTTGTTCCACAATCCGTCAGTTTAGTTTCTCCGTTATTTCTCCCAAATTAATCCTAGTTCAGTTCCTCCTTTATTTATCCCCAATCAATCCCAGGTCAGTTTCTCCTTTATTTCTTCCCAATCCACTCCAGTTTCTTCCCAACGGAATTGCTCAGTTCCATTTCTTCCCCACGGTTGTTCAGTTAAGATTCTCCTTTATATATATTTCTCACCAATCCACCCCAGTTCTGTCTTCTCCATTTCTCCCCAATCAATCCCAGTTTAGTTTCTCCGTTATTTCTCCCCTGTTTAAACGAAAAATGTTTTTCTTTACAATTATTAGTGCAGTTGAACGTTAGTGCAAATTGAAAATTTCCAACAAAAAAATAAAATTTGTTCAATTGGACAATAGTGTTTCCTGTAAATATTAGTGCAATAATGGCCATTTCCAACAGTATAATTTGCTCAAATTGATCAATGCTTTCAGTTTTTTTCTCTGTAAATATAATTGTAATGGGCAAGCGGCGAAATCTTAAATTTTAGTTTGATTGAACATTTGTTTGTTTATTTGCACAAAATATGTTCATTTGTATTAATTAGGGTAAATAAGGAAAATGGTGATTTTTTTTTTATTTTAGGGGGCCGAGCGCCGCGGCTAGGACAGTGTAGGGGGCCGGGCGCTGCGGCCACAAGTCCATATAGCAGCTGTAAAACCATGGTGCCAGTAGGTCGGATGTGTAGTATAGCGGATTTGACGTATTTTCGTAAGTCGAAAAATGCACCACCAACCTTCTTACATCCGATTTTGACATTTCAAAAAGTCGTCTTCTTCTCTCCCGCCCTTGTTTTGAAAGTGAAACATGATATCAGCTGACTTGATTATCAATCAGAGACAAATACAGACTAAAGCAGAGACAAAAACATGTCGCGGAGTTGAATATTTCGTAGTTACCAATCGTCCTTTAGAGGCGTTTCACGGACACGGGCACACTTTCTAAACATTAGCATATTAATAATCTAAATGGAAAATTACGCAATTATGTTTCGACAGCTATACAACACCAAGTGATAATACGCAATCTCAAATATCATTTTTAAAACATTTCTGCGTAAAATTGTGTTAAATGATCGTAAACATCGCAGGTGTGAAATCTTTAGTGATTTGCTTGCAAAACATTTATATAGATATATAACAATCTTCAGATGAATTTGCAGTTCAGTTCTGTCACAATATCAAACCATGTTTTTGAGCTTAAGTGACTTCGACTATAAAACATATGATAAGTGATTTAACAAAGTTAATTTTCCTGTAAGTTTGAAATTAAATTTTGAATTTTAAACTGTCAAAAGTGATTTTTCAGAAATAAATTATTGTTTTAATCTAAATATTATTTTACTATGGATATACTCGATGGTAGGCCAGTAATAAATCTGTCAGAAGATCATGTCAAATTATCAAATAAGAATTGAGGTAAGCTAAATTCGGGAAATAGTTAAAATCTATGTCAGACACTTAATTGATAGGAGGGGATCCATCCTTTTCAACATCCATCCTTAACCCGTACTATCTATAGAAACAAGCTGTCATGTCAAGCTGTCATAGAGAGAGAGAATTAAAGAAATATTATCCGGTATTCGCGCATTCTTAGGAGTTTTATCTATCCCCCCCTCCGCCAAGGTAAACCCCATGCCTAATGGTTGACAAACATCTATTTGATCAGTCCCAGCGTTTAGTCTCATCGTTATTTCCTCTCCATCCATCCTAGTTCAGTTTCTCCATTATTTCTTTCCAATCCATTCCAGTTCAGTTTTACCGTTATATCTATCTAATCAATCCCAGAGTTCAGTCTCATCTTTATTTCTTCCCAATCCATTCTATAGTTCAGTTTCTCCGTTATTTCTTCCAAATCCATCCCAGGTTTCTGCATTATTTCTTCCAAATCCATCACAGTTCAGTTTCTCCGTTATTTCTTTCCAAAACCCAGCCCAGTTCAGTTTCTCTGTAATTTCTCTCCAATTCATCCCAGTTCAGTTTTTTTCCATTATTTCTTCCTGATCAGTTCCAGTTCAGTTTCTCCGTTATTTCTACCCAAAACCCAGCCCAGTTCAGTTTCTCCGTTTTTTATTCCCATAACCAGCCCAGTTATGAATTCTCTGTTATTTCTTCCCAAAACCCGGCCCACTTCAGTTTCTCCGTTATTTCTTCCCAAAACCAGCCCAGTTCAGTTTCTCCGTTATTTCTTCCCTAAACCAGCCCAGTTCAGTTTCTCCGTTTTTTATTCCCAAAACCCGGCCCAGTTTTGAATTCTCTGTTATTTCTTCCCAAAACCCGGCCCAGTTCAGTTTCTCCGTTATTTCTTCCCAAAAACCAGCGGCAGCTCAGTTCAGTTTTTTATCATTTCTCCCCAATTCATCCTATTCCATTATCTCCTTTTTTTCTAATCCATCCCAGTTTCTCCGTTTTTTCATCCCAGTCCATCCCAGTTCCATTATTTTTCCCAAATACATTCTAGTTCAATTTCTCCATTATTTATTCCTTTCAGTTTCTCCAAAACCCAGCCCAGTTCAGTTTCTCTGTAATTTCTCTCCAATTCATCCCAGTTCAGTTTTTCCATTATTTCTTCCCATGGGCGTAAATAAGGATTCTGTGTGGCGCGCGAATTTTTTTTACCCCCCTAGAACTTTTTTACCCACCCCTAGAAAAATATCATGATGTATATCAAATTATTGATTTTAGTTGGGTTTGATTTGCATTTTCCACTCATTTCTGGCATTTACAAACTCCATCAAATAAAGGCTTCATTTCCTACCTTTCAGCTTTCACCTTGTTTTATAGCCTTCATTATAGTCATTCCTTTAACATATTAACTATAAAGATCTGTAAAAAAAACTGAATTTATTTTAAGTAACATAAAAAATAGTTTTACTATAAGAGGAAAAGATGTTGCTTTTTTAAATCTTTAGAAAAGCTATACTCTGTAAAACTTTGAAAAAATATTGTCTTTGTTTATATTCTTATTTCTTATTTCTAAAATTTTCTTGTCGTCATTGTAGTATGTTAAGATCTTAAATAAATCTAATATGGAAATGACATTACTTAGAAGTAAAAATGTATTCTTCATTGCCCGTACCCTTTTTTTCTATTAAAAAAATCTAATTATAATGACGTTGACTATCACTTTAGAATTTAGAATCATTTAAAATATGTTGACTTAAAATCTGAAATGTCTGAAGTATCTGCACTTTTAAATTATTTTCGTGCAAATTTTAAAGATATTCAATTTTAAAATCAACCTTTTTTAGAAACAAATTCTAGGGGGGTGGGGGTAATTACCCCCAGGATTCTAGGGGGGGGGAGGGTAAATAACCCCAATAACCCCCCTATTTCCGCCACTGAGGATTTGTTTGTTTTTTTGGAGGGGCAACCGTAACTTGTAGGGGCAGTAAGTGGAGTAATCCTTGCTATTCATGGCCTGAATAGTTAATTCAGGGGTAATTATCTCCAGGATTCTAGAGGGGGGGGGGGTAAACAACCCCAATAACCCCCCTTATTTACGCCACTGTTTCTTCCTGATCAGTCCCAGCTCAGTTTCTCCGTTATTTCTTTCCAATCCATCCTATAGTTCAGTTTTACCGCTATATCTATCTAATCCATCCTATAGTTCAGATTCTCCGATTATTCTTCCCAATCTATCCAAGTTCACTTACTGTGTTATTTTGGTGGTGTATTTTTCGACCTAAACATATCCGCTATACTCCACTTCTGACCTACGCCAAATCCGCTATACAACACATCCGATCTACTAGCACGTGGTTTTACAGCTGCGATATGGACATGTGGCCGCAGCGCCCGGCCCCCTAGCCTGTCCTAGCCGCGGCGCTCGGCCCCCTAGCCTGTCCTAGCCGCAGCGCTCGGCCCAGAAATTGTCTTAACCTAACCTAACCCTCAAATAATACAAAAATAAACAGCTGGCGTAGGTCCGATATTGCAGTAGGTCGGAAAGTTAGTAGGTCGGAAGTTCAGTAGGGGGGATATTGCGTATAGACGATGTAACATTACCC